GAACGAGGGGTCAATCTGCAAGGAAGATTGGACCGGAGCATTTTGTTATTTCCCTTTGGCGCCCTCCCCCTTTTCAATTCGCTAAGTTTGCAGCTCCTTATTCTTGTCACGCCTACACTTTTTACACCCCGTCCAACCTTCTCCATAGTACTTTCCTTCCTTCTATGCCATCCCTTGCTCTGCAAGGTTCACCAGTCATATCAGAGATACACAAACCATAGCGACAAACGACTCCACCTGCCTTTTGTGGGTCCACCTTCCTCTAAACACGACATTCACCCTCTCACAACAGCGCAACGCTCATACGCTCAGAAAATAAAATAAAAAACAAACAAAAGATAGTTTTACGGCGATGTGGATCATCGAAAAAAGGAAAGCGGCCAAAAGGCGATTTCGTTTGAAGTAAAAAAAGGGGGCGGGGGTGTCATGCATTGTTTGTTTTTTATGTCCAATGAGCAGCATGGAGCACGCATCTAAGCTTGAACGGGTTTGAGAGGGTTGAGAATGATGATGATGATGAGGAGGAGGTGAGCGTTTTGGAAATTATTATAGCTAGCCAACCAGCCTCTTTGTTTCATTGTTTGTTTTGGTGGACAATCGACCGACTATACACGCGCTTGCTTTGCTCGTTCACGAATAAAAAGTGGTGGTGAGGGAAGGATAGATGAACGGAGAGGTGGAGTGAAGGTGGAGGTGAGCCACGCATTTTACATTTCCGCCTACCATCAGCTACTCACGCGCACTCACTTATCCACCTATTTACTTAACCACCTTGAAACATCATTTGTTTGAGTTGAGGGTTAGATGGACAAACGAAAGTGTGAACTTGTCCAAAAAGCTTGATTACACGAATACAAACAGGAATAAGCATCTTCAGGGAGAAAAAGAAATAGCCGATAGGATAGGAGGAAACTCACATCATATCCCATCTGAATAGAGTCGAAAACGTGCGGGAAGACTGGAAAATGAGCGTACGACGGTTGGAAGCAGATTGAAGCTCGACCCAGCCTAACCTCTCCAATCCCTCCATTCGGAGTATTTCATTTTTCTCTTCACACTGATCGTCGCACGCCTTCGATTATTTTTTTCACAAGACAACAACAATGATGCGATGCACATTGAGTTTATCCCTCATGCGTTGTGTTCATTATTGCTGTTCATCTGTCGTTTTTTTATTTTCCTAGTCCGGTTTCTCCTTGCGCCCGAGAGTGAGGAAGGGAAGGATAGAGTATGAAAAAAGAAGATTAAGGATATGGCGAAATCTACTGCTAGAATGAGCAGCACGCCAATTCTGTCCCTCTGTCGGTCAAGGTTGAAGGGGTGAAGGGAAAGTAGGTACGCCCAGACTGGTACGCCAAACTGCTTCTATTATCCGAAAATTTTAAATCTCAGAGCCGAACAACCGGCCGACCGACGGAGCAAAAAAACAAAATAGAGGGAGGCATGAATGAGCATTGGCATGAAAGGAACGTTGGATGGGAAAGGAAGGAAAGGAAAAAGGGCTGGTTGAGGGACCACCTGTGGCAAGTGTACATTTCGATCGGATGGCATTTTGACGAGAAAAGAACAAAGGGTGGATACATTCCAGTTTTATCTTTTTTTGACATTTGACAGGGAAAGAAGGGACGGTCGGTGATAGAAAAAAAAGGGCTACGAAGAAACGGCAATAACGCAACAACGACACGACAGTTCCGTTTATCCCTCGACCCTTACTTGCATACTGTACATTCATTGATTGCATTACATTGCACGAGCAAATCGGCCATGGTCAGAGCCAAGTTTGCTTTTTTTTTTTTTTTTTTTTTGGCTACTTTCTTTCTCTCACCCACCCGCTCTCTGGGTTATCCAGCTATGTGTTCAAGATCCAGCTATCAAGGTTTTCGATACCCGAATTGCTCTCGTCTATCATATCCTTCCCCTTCTCTCATTGTTGATCAGAATTGTCTATTTCCTTCTCTCTTGTTCCGCTCGTTCGCTTTTTGCTCTCGTACCCTTCCCTTCAAAAAAAGAATACACTTGTGCTTCTCAGAACTCTGCCAATCCAATCCCATCAAGAACAAAAAACTTTACTATTTTTCGAACACTGTCAACCATCAGGAAAACAAACAAAAAGTTGAGCCAGGGTCGAGTCGGAAATGTGGCCATGGCGAGGCCAGACCTCTCCCTTTGTCCTCTGTTGTGTTCGTGTACACCTTAGCACGAGCAAAAAAAAAAAAGAGCATAAACAAAGAAACAAAGAGGTGTCATCTTTGCACCCACAGTACAGGACCAGCCCTCAAGACCGTTAATGGCATGGCAGGTGTAGACTAACCTGTCTTTTTCATACCTTGCCTCTCCCTTCGCCCCGCCTCTGCGCATACGCATATAGATTCTCTTCCTCTTCAGGGCACGTCACACGATCGATTAAAACCTTACTTTTCGATCTTTCTCATCTCCATTTCATATCACTGAACTCCTCTAATATTCTTGTTGAGACAAAAAGTACAAAAGCCAACAAGAAGCATAAAAGGGGCACAAGCGCAGGGCAGCAGGACGAATGGATAAGACAGGACACAAACGACGACATGGAACAGAACCAACACGAGAAAGACATACACGTGGGTCGAACGAAAGGTCAATGTTCTTTACCACAACATCCATTTCCCTACAATGAATGCACAAAGGAAAGAGACTAAGCTGACAGGATAGGGAGAGGAGAAAAAGAGGGCTCACGAAGGTAAGAGGGATGAAAAATGCTCCTTTCCAATTCATGCAGGTTCTGTTCAAGGAAAGAAAAACAAGCAACATAACGACTAACGATGGGCGGCCATTTGGGCGGAGACTAAGAAAAAGGAAATGAAGGTATCGGCACTAGAACGATGTAAAGTGAATAGGAGGGAGAGGGTCATGTAGGAGCACAAATTGCACAGAAAATGGCTGTTTTTTCCTTGCTTGTTTGTTTTGGTATTCGTTTGTTGGTAGATGAACGAGCACACACAACACAAAAGTCGAGCCAAGGTCGGTCAGTTGTCGACCACCCTTGGCAAAAATACAGAAATCGACAGAAGGAAAAGAGAAAGGAGAGTGGATACGAGAGCGAAGATACCTTTCTCTAAATGACAGAAATGACATTCTTAGAGCCTAGTGGTATTTTCTATACCTACTCAATCTACTTCACTGCTCCCTATCTCCTTTCGTCACTGTTCGTTTTTTTTCTCGCTTTGCTCATTTCTCATTTTCTCATGGTGCTCTCTTCTGCCTCTCGGATCTCTTTCCCTTGCATAACTTTTTAGCCCTTTCTTCTCTTACACTTATGCATGTGAGTAGTTGGCCGGGTGGGTGTTGTGATGTCCCAAAGAGAAACAACGAAATAAAAGAAAAACATCCCTGGGATCGTTTCAAGGATAAGGCACAAAGGAATGAATGAAAGGAGGACGTTTTCTTTTTCAGTCTGGCAGGTGTACGTACACCAGCTAAAGTATCTTTCCTTTTGCCAATATTTTTTTGTTTGTTTTGCACTTTGCCTTGCTTGCATGTTGCAGCTTTTTTTTTTTTTTTTTGACACCAACTCTCCGCCCAGCCCACACTCCCACACCGACACACCTAGTGCCCGGTCGGCTCTAATACCCGACATCGAACAAAACCGAAAGGCAAAAAAAAATAAACGCGGGGGCGAACTCTGACCTCTGGAACTCTGAACTCTGAACTGAACGGACACAAAAGATGAGAAACGGAGAAAGGCTAAATGGGGAGGCAAAGAGGTCATGCCTTCGATCCCTTGCATAAAAAAAACCCCCATGGCGTCTTGTGTTTTTGAGTGTCTTGTCTTGCTGTTTGTGTCCTTCTCGTCGTTCCATCACTTCTTTGTTCTCGTCCTCATCGTTGTTGTTGTTGTTGTTGGTGATGAAGTAAGGTTGTGTGGTTCATTTTCATTTTGTTTGCTTGTTTGTTTGTTTGTTTGTTTGTTGGTTTGTTTGTTGGTCAGTTGGGTGAACTGGTTGGTTTGGGTGTCATGGGAAAGTGAACTAAAATTTCAGAGAGCATTGGGCTGAGAGAGAGAGTATTGAAGATGGTTACTTCGTCGACTTTTTACTGTTTTCTCTTCCAGGGGAACAATTACGAGTATTGTTTTCTTTATGCTCTCAGTCGTCGGCAATCTGGTTGGACCGCCTGACCGAACGACCCACTTGCAGGGCCGTTGGACAGCATAGGATTACGAGCGTGATTTACTGGATCAAAATAAGCTCATGAGAAATCCTGGTCGTTGGCATGTTGTTTTCGAAAATTATGTTCAGTGTTCATTCAGGATATCGTACCTGTCTATCAACTGCGTGGTTCACTGTCAACCTACTCCATTATTATTTTTGGTTTTCTCAAGGTCATCGTCCCTTTCGACTTTCATCAACGTTGACTTACATTCGATCGTTCTTCCTTACATGCTTGATTCTCGATTGTGGGTTCACATTGACGGTGTTCAATGATTCCATTTTTGTTCTCTCACTTTCACTTTCACCCCTGACCCTTTTTCTATAAGGAGAATAAAAAAGGTGTAGCAAATATCGAACGGAGGTTTGCTATCTATCCGTTTTCTCCATGATGCAACCTAGAGCAAAGCATGAAAGGAGTACGTTGATGCGATGTCCTTCCGACCTCATTTTTTTACCTTTCGCGATCCTTCTCCGTATACCCTTGACCACCATTTCACCGATCCTCGCCGTCCATGGAACAAACGATTCGCTGCGGCGTCTGCTATCTAAAAAAAAAAAGGCACGCGGCTTTCACATATCTTTCATCTGGCCTTCGCCGAATCTCACGGCTAAATGTCACGTGAGACTCGGGACCAAAATTCCCCAAAGCGGCATGTGTCACGTGAACAGTCAGATGAGACTGTCTTTTTAACTTCGAAAAAACAAGTACCAACGAGTGCATTTGATGCTGCCGTTCCCCGCACTCCTTTTTTTTTCTTTCACCTTCCACACTTACACCTCACTTTCTCCGCACTCAACGCACATACATCCGCCATGTTCAGGTACAACTCGACTCTACTCAACACAACACAACACAAGGCGGACACAGGGACATAAGGAGCATGCAGGACAGACCAAAAACCAACATAAGGACACTTGAGAGTGATCAGTTACATCGCAACCCCACAAAAAAAAAAACGGAGGACTTATTCAGCGCCAACCCGAACTGCGATCACCCGCACATACAAAGAAAAGACCAACCCTCTGAACAAAAAACTTCTTATACTCATCGTCAACAAATAATAGCAAGCTTGTCAACTTCTGGGTCAACAAGGCCGTTACTGAGTCGGTATGTCCTCTCTCCACCACGTTCTGATGTAATCTCTCACCTTGACAAGACCCCACCCCCCAGCACCCAACCCTGATCACATATCAACTAACACTCTACTCCTTTTTTTCCAACCTTGTGAAAAACAATAGCTCTTGAACAGCCCCAAGTTCCACCAGTTCGCCGCCAAGACCCACCATCACGTCAACAACATCTCCAAGAACGGTACGGCTCTACTACCCTTTCAATACCAAATAACTCCTCTTTCTCACACGGACTCTCGACACCCACCACACCCAACAAAAAAAGACAACCAGCAATCACATCAAGCTGCACATCTCACCTCCAGAAAAAAAAACAGGCAAATACAGGAAGGAAAAACGATTGGGAAGCAGAGCATCGAAGAAGGGACAGAAAGTGCGATCCGATTCTGCCGGCCAAAAAAAAAACGACCTTCGGAAGAGACGACCCACAACAACAGTACCCATTCGGAAAGGCGTGTGGACATTACTAAACCATAATTGATGTATTTTGTTGAGTCACACTGCTAACCTTCTTTTTCTCACTTCTCCCATCCTACTTTTGCTCTTCTCCCCCCCCCGGCTTCTCTTTTCACCCTTCTGCTAACTAGCTGCCCCGATGATCTCTGAGAGCACAAACAGAGCCGCCACCTTCGCCAAGGCTTTCAAGGAGACTGTCATCAAGGAGTCCGAGGCCTTGTCCAAGAAGAAGTAAACGGACTCGCTCTCTCTTTTTCAGGAACCATGGACTATTTTTTCTTTTTCGGATGACTATTTTGCACAAAAGCGGCTCAGCAAACCATCTTCCGAACGACAACAACAAACAGCAAAATATCAACTCCGCAGTGTCTACCTTTGATCGCCTTCGGCTCGAAAGAACGACTCGCCCCAGCGTCCAAAACTGCAACTATCTCACTTGTACAACCACACACCATTCATAATTCGTAGAAACACATATCTTCTTTTCTTGCTTTTATCACACTCGCACATCACCTCCGTCCCTGTTTCTTCTGTATCAACAATTAAAACCATTCTTTTCACTCTCATCAACCAACGTTCGGAAACAAGCAGGGATCAATTAAGGGACAGGCAAAAAGGAACGGAGACATATTATTAGATATTTACAAGGACAGGTGAATTCAAAAAAACGAGTAAGAGTAAGAAGAGAAAAGGAGAAAGGGGAGGGAGTGAGAGTAGGAAGGGGAAAGAAAGACAAAAAGTATCAAGATTAAAACTACAACCGCCAATATTAGACGCTACTCTAGTACGAATGACAAGAAAACTAGGGGAAAAAAAGGGAACAACTACTATGTGTATGAAAAGGAAGGAAAAGAAACGACGTTTTTGTTGTATGATTTTTGGAAGCAGAGCGTAGAAAAAGGAAGAATAGAAAGCAAGCGGAGTATCAGAGGAAAAGAAGAAGGAGGTCAAGGATGAATTGGGCGAAACGAAGAGGGAGGAGAAGGGAATTATGCAGTCGATGACGACTCGGGGGTTTTGGAAGGGGCGGTCATCCATGGGTGAGAGAGGACATCGTCGATCAGGGGTCGCTTTTCAATGTCTCTCGACAACATACACCTAATCAGCGCAATAGATTCTATTGTGTATCATCAAAAGGAAGAGATTTGTGTTAACATCGTTTCACCACAATTCACCACAGTGTGATACTGGATCCGAAAACAGATATGAAAGAGTTGTGTACCTTCGGAGAGGACAAAAGGGACGCGGAGGTCGCGGCTGAGGATTTCGTCAATGTTGTAGAACGGGTTCTCCTTGTAGATGAGGGTGTAGAGCAAAATGCCGAGTGCCCAAATATCCTGCTTGCGGCCCTCATATTTCTTGCCAGTCAAAACCTCGGGCGCCGCATAGTCCAGTGTGCCACAGAACGTGTCAAACTTCTTGCCCTCCTTCAGGTACGCCGACGATCCAAAGTCGATCAACTGGATCTTGCCATTCTGGTCCAAAATCACGTTCTCGTCCTTGATATCCCGATGCACAATTTTGTTCGAGTGCAGATGGTACACCGCATCGCAGATCTGTCGGAAGATTGCTCGGATCTCGTCCTCGGTCATATATGGCGTCAGCTCGATATAGTCAAACAGGTCCATGCCGGTTCCATGAAGCGCCATCTCCACATAATAGTACTCCTCGTCCTCGAAAAAGTCCGTCATCAGAACAATATTGGGGTGAGGGATCCTCCGTAGCGTGTGCATGATCGACACCTCCATGGGAATCATCCCCAGGATCCTGTCGTTCGTCCAGCAGTCCACCAGAATGCGGCTCTTGACAATGTACTTCATCACCACCTTGGTCGATCCTTCCTTCAGACAACACAGCTTGACTTGGCCATACGCTCCCTGGCCCAGCGATTCGAGGATATCATAGTCTGCAATGCTATGCAGCTTGGTCACAGCCGAATACTGTGACTTCATGTTGTCGATCGAGAGGCGAGAGGAGGGCGTCGAGGGTGCGGGGGAGGCGGGAGAGGCGCAGGACGAAAGCGATGATGCTGAATCCGACGAAAAATGGTGATTGAGTGAGGTCTTGACATTGGGCAGGTAGCCAGACTTGGGTGTCCGGGGAAGCTGCAGATCCTCTGTGGTTGCATCGCTCATGTTCTCATTCACATCCGGCACCATCTGCTCGCTTTCTGTAGACGAATCCACCATCGACCTCAGATCCTCCATAGCCTCCGAGAGCGACTTTGAAGGCGTCAGGGCAGGGGCCGGGGCTGGTTTCCTGTTGGGCTCACGCGTAAAGCTGATGTCGCGGTCATAGGTGATCCAAACAGCAAACATCCGTCCCTGAGGCGATTCAATCATCCTGATCTGGATATCAACATCGAGGGGAGTTCCGTCGCGGTGCAGTCCGACAATGCCAGAATTTGACATGAATGCATTGTTGGTCCTCTTGAGAAGCGCCGACATGCCAAAGTTCCGTTTGAAGGTTGAGGACTGCCTGTTGGTGATGCTGGGCGATCCTGTGGTCGAGTTTGAGTTACTGTCCTGAGGTTTGGCGAAAAAGTCGGGCGACAAGATCGATGGTTTGGGCGCCTCGGCAGCTGTTCTCCGGATAATCGTCGCCGTCACAATTGCACCCTCTGTCAAGCGCACGTAGTCATCGTCTACTGACAGGTCCTTCTCGTCGAGCAACTTGTCCAAGATCGATTGGAACTGGGGTATCAGGTCATTGATAGATTTCTTCTCGTTCAGCTCTGTAGCGGGGTATCCAAAGAGGTACTTGGTAAAGACGGTATTGGCACTCTGGATCAACCCCGAGTCGTGGCAAGTGATCACACCGGCGATCGCAGGCATAGAGATGATACGGAGTAGGTAACCGTCCATGGAATCATGATCCAGATTGAAAGGGTTCGCCTCAGGGTCAATGTGTTCGGATGGGTTCAACACTTTGCAAATGATCGGGAATGTGCTCCCGTTTTTCGACCTCGCGCCAAAGAACTTGATGACGTTGATCTGGTGCACATCCAGAGTTGCAAAAGAGGTATCAGGGTCGACAGATTGCAGTTTCTCCAGAGCAGGGATGAGTGTGGTGATGGATCGACCAAGTAATTCCATGTAGTCGTAAGCGTACAAATCAAAGATAGCTCCCTCGATGTTCAGAATCTCTCCCTGTGGAATAAAGCAATGCGTAACCAATCAAAGGTTAGTTTTAACGCTTGAAGGAGGTGTAGGACCGACGGAAGCATAGCCGACGAGTGTTCGATCCTCAATGGCATTCTTGAAAGAGGGAAAGAGTCGAAAATCATGCACAATGATTTTTGTCCTGAGTTCCTCTTTTACTACCCCTAGAACCCTTTTTCTCAACTTACCGAGCTTGAGATGACTGCAGAAACAACCGACTCGGAAATCTCCTCAAACACCCAAATGTACAGCAGCTGACCATTGGCGTCTTTCCGTTGTTTGAGCCAGACCGACGCCGCTGCCGAATGGGAGTTGCGTTTTTGAATACGGATCTATGCAGTCGAGAATAGATATGTATGGGAAATGATGTTAGATGATTTCTTTTTAATTGACACACGCTGCCCCAAAACCAAGGTGAACAAGGAAATATCACAAGACACAACCCTCTCTCTTTCTCTCTTTCTCTCTCTCCGTCCTTTTTCCTTTTCGGACCTATTGCAACCGCTCCCGCATGCTCATAAACATCAGCACACAAAACAGAGACCACCTGGTTGTCTCTGTGTCATCGCAGGTGAGAAAGCATCATAAACAAGACCACAAGGAAAATTAAACGGACAATTTTTTTCCTTTTGTCAAGTCGGGAAAAGAGCATGATAACCGAAAACAAAAAAATTCTCCCGTCAATGTGTATAGGGTTAGTACTGTAAGGCGATAAATGAGAAACGACAAGACATTGTCCATGAGATAGACTGCTGAAAGAAGAGGGGTGAAGGAGGTTGGCGGGCGGTCATAGCACATCTTTCCATTGTTGTCCCACTTATCGGACTCAGGAACACGGAAAACAAAAAGAAGATAAAAATAAAAGACAAAGTAATATGCAACAAGCAATTGCAACTCTCTTTTTCTTCATATGGGCGAGCCCAGCAAGAGAGAGCGGTAGGCGATAGGTGAGAGCTTGACACGAACACACTTTTTTTTTTTTGTTCTCTTCCACTCTCCTCAGTCGCATCTTTCTTTCCCTTGTTCGTGTTGAACCTACCACTTTGCCGCAGAGTAACACATGCTCGTCCTTGCTATCGCACGAGCCGTCCTGCAGTTGCTGGTGAAGGAGTACTTCCAGTTTTTCCTTGTATGGGCTGGCAACCAGATCGAGGATGGTTCTGGTGGTCAATTCGCTTCCGTGATATCCAAAGACGAGCGATGAGACATCGTTGGCCATGATGATGCCCCAGTTCTGGTCAGTGGTGATCATTGCCTGGCTCTGGGGCAGAAACCGAGTTGGCGAGTGCAGAGTACTGTAGTTTGCTGCTGTGGAGATAGTTGCGATTGAGAGCGGCCGATTTCCACGTTCTTTGACCTGCTGAAGGGTTGAAGTCGAGGCCGGGACGTCGGTCATAGTTCGCTTGAGTTTTGGTTTTTGTGTTCCTCCGTTAGTTGTAGGCTCTGAGAAGTTGGCGAAGGAGGATGGGGTTGGTGATGGGTAGGCGCCGATGGAGAAGTTGTCGGTGGGGGTGGTTGTAGCCGAGTAAGGAAAGACATTTGAGATGGGAACCTGCCAGCCCTTGATCTTTTGCTTCATAAAGTCGATGGATCGGTAAAAGATGCTCCGCCGGCCCTCGACGAAAGTCTTATCGTGCGTCCCGCTGGTGAAGGAGTAGGAGTGAAGTGACTCGTTGGAGAATTTTGCTAGCTCGTCTGTTGTGCTGGCCATAACCGGCGGTGGTGGAGGACGAGTACTGTTGTTGTTGTTGTTGTTGTTGTTGTTGTTATTTTGAAGGGTGGAGCCTTCTCCATGAGCAGCTGTGTCCTGCGGTGATGCACTGGAGGCAAGCGGCATAGGGCGGATGCGAAAGAGGCCAGAGTATGGGATTGGATCCTCAAAGGCAGACGATTCGGAGGCCGACTGTTGTGCAGCAGAGACGGAGGCAGGAGAAACCTTTGTCGATAAAGACAGAGACGGAAGAGTTCTTCTTTTTGGGGACGTCCAAATATGAGAAAAGAAAAAATAAAGGATCTGATGGGTTAATGGCGAAACTGACTGGGTAAAAGGTGGTGAGGGTGGGTGGAGAGGGGATAAAAGGAGGAGACGAAGACGCTTTTGTTCTGAGAAGGATTGGTTTTCTCACTTTTTTTTGTTTGGATGAGTGGGATGAGTTTAAAAAAGAGGTCGTGATGAAGTGAGATGAGATGAAGAGGAGAAAGGAGAGAAGGAAGAAGGAAGAAGGTATGTGGTTGGTTGGGGAGTGAAGAAGGGAGAGGATGGTGGGTATTGTGAAGTATGGAAAAGAAAGAAAAGAATGAGAAAAGTAAAAGGGAGACCACAAAAACAAGAAAGACAAGGGACAAGGGACGACGAGGACAGGGTGTGACACAGAACAAAAAAAATAAGATCTTTCTCTCCTTTCGGATTGCAACGACATGTTGTGCCGGATGGATAATGTCAAAGTACATGTTCATGTCGTCCTACATGGCTGCAGCCTGCCTGTCTGCAGAGTCAAAAAATATTTCTCGTACCAATCCCATGTAAAAAGAAAATAGCTTGTGACTCTCTGACTCTTACATCTTTCTTTCCTTCACACTACCCTTTTTCCCAATTGTCGTCGCATGTCGTCCTATGTCGTCGTATTGTCTGCTCAACCCAAAACCCTAAACGCACCTCCGTCCACGGAAAATATCACTATCGGCCACCGAAATAGACAACGCGGAAAAAAGTTTTGCTTATTTTTACCTTCTTGAAGAGTCCATTGTATATGTGTTGCTGCAGGTGCCGTATTGATGCGGATGTGTGTATGTGTGTTGAAAGCTGTAGCGAACCACAAAGGACGAGAGTCATGCAAGAGTAGCAGAGGTCGTGAGAAGAGAGACTGCAGAAGTGAATGAGAGCTCGACTTGAATGGAAGGGAGAGGATAAAGTAGAAAAGGCGGTAACAGGCGGGCGAAGTGTATGTGTGTCTGCGGAATGGAGTTCGAAGTACTTGAATGAGTGAGAGTCGACGAATGGAGAAGAAGGTGTGTTCAGCGACAGGAGAGGAGAGTATGTGGAAGCGGACGGAGGAAGACTGAGAGCGAGTGAGAGTGTGTGTGTGGAGAGGGAATAGAAGTGCAAGAAAAGAGAGAGGAAGAGAGTCGACGGACCAAGGTCAGGATAGGTAACGAAATGGAAGGTACAAGGGATTGTGGAATAATGAAGAGAAAGGAAACAAGAAAAAAAGGTACGCTTGCCCTTCTTGAAGACCAGAGTGGAGAATAGGTTGAATGCTACAGCATACACCCAAATTGTTGTCAATGCGTCCAATGCTTACCTACGACTCTATTTGGCATCGGTCAATGCCATCTATAGACCATGCTGTCTGCTTCGCTTTGCTGACCCTGTCACTCTTTTACTACTGGTGCTACAGCATCTCATTTTCGACCCACCACTCTATTAAACATAGCCGACGATGATGCTAAGTCTTGCCCGTGGTCCATCCATCCGTCCATGGGGTCCAGTGACCAAGCCCAGGATTCCCACATGTCCCAATTCAGTGGCCTACAAACAACAGCATGAAAGACATCCATCATCACGTCTTCTTTCTCTAGTAAATTAAAAGAAGTGAGCCATCCTCCTTTGTCGCCCAATTCCAGACACCCTTTCCATCAAACTCTTCTGGAGAACAAGAAAGGAGAAACAAGCACACGTCCAAAACCCCTCCTCCTCCCAAAGGAGGCCCAAGCTGGCGGCTATGTCAACTTTCACGAGGAAGAGGAAACAAAACTCACCCCCTTTTTTGTTGCAATCTGGGTAGTTTCCCACTCCGATGGTCTCTCACGCTGTCTTTCATTGTAAGCAGAAGGGCCACTTCCGGCAAACCACATCGAGTAGGCATTCACATCAGCTTGGTAGTGTATGCGCGGTGTGAGCATATGCGCGTGAGAGTCAAATGGATGTGGAGTTGTCTTGTCGTGTTCTCCAGTTCTAGACAATTTGTCGCCAAAGGTTTAGCAAACAAAACACATGCCAATAATCAATGAAGTCATTCGACAACCAGTTGATAATATACAATGATTTTTTTTTTTGACCAGAGCGAATGCTTTAATGTGGATAACTTCGTTGGGATTGGGTTGTTTTCGGGGGAGCGGGTTGTTTTTGACAAGAAAAAGACATAACAAGAGAGACAATTTACTTCTTCTTGTTGGCCTCCTCCTCCTCCTTGGCCTTGCGACGAGCCTCACGGATACCGTGAAGACGGGCAACGGAGCGGGCCTTGCGGTGCTGCTCGTAGGCGGAGTTGTTCTTCTCAGCCTCGGTGATCTTGCGAGCCTTCTCCTTGGTGTAGACCTGGGCAACGGGGTGGATAGCACCGGTCAACTGGGTGGCGGCAGAGAGCTCGGTGGCAGCAGAGTCACCGGCCTTGGTCTTGCCGGCCTTGCGGGGGAAGACAATCAACTTGGCCTTGTAGGCCTTGAGGCGCTGAACGTTGAGCTGGAGAGACTCCTCGGACTTGTTGCGGCGACGGTGGTCGACCGAAACACCGATGGAGAGAGCCTCCTTGCGGCGGATACCAGCAGCCTATTTGGATTGAATGTAAAGTGCTTTGGTTAATACATTTGTCTCCTTTTGTGCCCGCTGGCTGTTGTTGTCGTGATCCATGCGCAAGTAGAACGTCAGCCCTCTTTATAAACTCTCTGCTCGCCACTGTGGATGCCCCATATCTTTGTGGCAGCGAAAGGTAGGAACGTTGGTCTTTTCAATGTGGCTAGAGCTTGTTGTCGAGTTCGAAGGGGAACCGAGTCGCAGTTGTCGATCAGATGTAACATTTACTCCTGATAGACCCAAACGACATTGAGCGTGCACGTATCGAGAATGCAGAAAGCAATACATGGTTGTTGGCATGTAAAGCCCTCCTGGCAAACAAAATTGGTGGCGTTTCAAGCTTTTCGTCCATGTATCCAGTTCGCCTCCAAATATGCTCTACTCCTTCTCTCCCAAACTCCAAGAGCCAAAAAGAAAGGTGCAAAAACGGTACCTTGAGCTCCTCAAGGGTGAAGCCACGACCAGCACGGAGCTTGGTGTTGTACTTGATGGTAGGGCAGCGGACGGCAGGGCGGATCAAGCCATCAACGGGGCGAGGGGCAATGCGGGCAGCCTTCTGGACACGCGCGATACGGCGGGACTTCTTGCGACTGGCCTGGTCCAACCAGGTCTTGACGCGCGACTGCCAGTCCTTGCGGAAATGCTATTAGTTAGGAGAAAAATGGTAGGAGATGTTAGTTTGTCTGGGTTGTATTTTCCAGGCGTGAAAAGACAACGAGATCAGATCGGCTTGTTGCTGCATGATTTCTCGGTAAGATACGCACCTCTCCGGGCAATTGGTTGTTGTGCTTCATGGTCTGTTATAGAATCGAAAGGAGACAGACGATAGAATAGTGTTTCCAGCGAGATGAGAAGAGTCGAGTTTGAATAGAGTTTGAAAGTCGTACGGGAAAACCATAATAAGTTGACAAGAGAGAAAGAGAACGATTGTAAGTAACACCGTTCTTCTTCAACTGATGAAAAGAGAGATCCTGAGAAGTCTGCTGATGCTGGTTTCCATCTTCCTTGAGAGTGTTGTTTGTTGAGGTATGATGTCGCTGAAAAGCTGTTGATTGACTGTTGTTGCTGCAAGTGCATAACAGGAGAAATCTGGCGATGTTGATCCAGGGTTCCTCCACTGCTGGCTTTGTTGACAAGTGTGAAAAAAATAGTTGCGGTGGGTTTTGGCGGAGGGTTGCTGATTGAGATGTCTGCCTCAACCTGCATGGAGTCGTTTACTCTCCCTGCAGGCATGCAGCGATCGAGAGGTGAGTTCCCGAATAGAGGGGGTGCTGGGATCCAGTCAGCCTCAGTTCGCATCCCTCTATTGTAAGATGGGTCCTTGCGTACTGGACTGAGATGTTTGGTAGTATGTATCCTCCTGCTCCTTTCTGTAGTCGTTTCATGATGCCGGTACCGATGACGATGAAAGGCTCAACGGTTGACGGCAAGAAAGATCCTGGGTCCTGCAAGGGATGTGATAGATGGGTTGACGGGATGGCGATGATCCATGGATGGATGTATTGACTAGATCAGACGACGATGGATGTCTATCCAACGCTCACAGTCTGTGACAGGATTAGTACCGATTATGTGCTAAAGCAGAAAAGGAGGTTTTCACGGGTGCTCCCTCACTGCACTTAAATCAAAGCTCACGCCCCTTAAATAATGAAATCATTTTCGCAATGCTTGGTTGTTTCTCATTCAAATATCGTCCTCGTGCTCGCTCAGTAACTCACTAGGAAGAGAAAAAAAAATGGGAATGCTTCGTGCTAGGTGGGCAAACAAGTCGCCTAGCTTGAAGCAAGGGTTTTTTGTTGTTTTTAATGATGTTGTTGAAAGGAATAGATAAAAAAAATATATGTCATTAGAGACACCTACGACTATGATGGGCTACATACTGGGATCGAGGGGTGATGGAAGGGAATGGTATCATGTTCAAGGCATTGGCAGAAGAAAAAAACGTTTTGGTATGAATTGCATAAGTAAATATAAAAGAAAAGGAAGGGGCATCCGCTGTACTTGTTTGTTGCTTAGTACAAGCGAGCGGTTTCGCGGGAGGAAGTGATGGGGTTGTGGGAGGGTAGGTGGCGACCAGAAAGATAGTGAGCCGCCTTGGAGGGGTGGATGTGGCTGGTATCATTCGAGGTGCCATCACTTATGGCTGCTGGCACGGGTGTGCCTTTGAGCATGGGCTGCGGCTTGGATCCAGTCAGACGGTTGGGGAGGAAGAAAGTGCAATAACCGACCATGGCGACGAGGATGTTGATGGGCAAGAACAAAAGACTCGAACGATGCTGTTCCTCCGTGATGCGGTATGTCAGATAGGTGTCGTACTCGCGCATCTTTTCATCGATGCTGGCAAAACGCTCTTCGGCATAGGAGCGGAGCTGGACCTCCTTCTTGTCATGGCGCTTGATCTGCTTGGTGAGTTGGTGGAGCGTGGGCTCGACACTGTCCTGGACCTGCAAAACATCCCGCTTGGTGGCAAAGGCACGTCGAAGTTGGGTGAGTTCTGCCTCGATCGACGCGACTTTACGCTTGAGCGATTCGACCTCCGCGTCGGGGTAGTGGACTTGCTCCTGCAAATGCAACGCGCGCGCCTTCAAGAGACCGATGAGGTGGGTAAGAGGTCGGATGCCCGAGGCAACAATGAAGAGCTCAATGTTCAGCGCAGAGAGGTAGTTTTCGTAGGACGAGAAGAACGTCTTGAGATACTGGAGCGTGTATCCTCCGAGGAAGGGTGAGGCAAGGACCAGCAAGAGTGAGAAGAACTCTTGGCGTTTGAGACTGGCGGCGGCACTCTGTCGTCGCTGCTCGAGGACTGGGTCCAATGAAGCTTTGACGCTTGCATTTGTGAGGAGCACTCGTCGTGTCCTGGCAGCATAGTAAAGTTCCCAGGGCACTAACACGCGGCAATGAAATAAGAAAAAAAGCATGAGCCACACCACAAGCATAAACAGATAATAAATAACACCATTGTTGACATCTTTGAGAGAAGTTGAGCAGGGGATGCATGTAAAAAAAAGAGCAATCAACCGAATCCCCTCATCATCGTGCTGAGATAACAGCAACACATGCCCTTACTCCCTCCCCCTCCTCTCTCCTCTTCCACCCCTTGACCATTTTGTTTTGCAATCAGAATATTAGGTCAATGCACCGCTTTGTACATTTAGTCCAGCTCAACAAGAAAGAAAGATAGAAAGATATACAGATGACTTGTTACCTTTGATAATGTTATAGAGGAAGAAGGCTATCAGGATCAACGTCAGCATGTCGCTAAAGATATCCGACTTGCCAAAGACAAGTGCGCCCAGGGGAGGGACCACCGCAAAGAGAATGGGCCAGCTGTGCGCGCCATTGGAGAAGTCAGACTGGTCGTATGCACCCGACCGAGGTCTCTCAGTGGCCCCAGCAGAGGTCGCGCGACCACCCGAAGGCAGCGACATGTTGGACCCGTTACTGTGGTGGCCACTGTTGTAAGAGCTGCCCTTGCCGCCGTTGAGACCATGATGGCTGCTCTTGTGGTTCAAGGTCGGGCCGCTGTTATTGTTGGCAGAAGAAATAGACGAAGGCGACGAAGACCGGCCGTTCGGGGGACGAGGGACGCTATTTTCAACCTCGAGGTGGCTGGTATTACTTATCTTGGCGCCACCGCTCGTTCGGCCGCCATAGTGCAGCGATTTGTGGGCGCCGTACATGGTTGGTTCCGAGTCTGAGGTGAGGGGCATGGTGGAGGTGTGGGGCATGGTGGAGGCGGTTGTGGTGGTGGTGGAGATTGTTGTTGTGGTTGTTTCTTGGCGCACCTTTTCAGGAGCAGACGATTCGTTGTGAGGTTGATGCTGCAGGTAAGTCATGGGTTTGTTGTTGGAGGAATGTGAATGTGAATGCTAGCTTGGTGAAGGGTGTGTGCTGTTGTATGCGGTAAGAAAGAGGGTGGTAGTGATATCGTCAAGGGGTGGGTGAGCAGGCAAGGGAGGGCGGGAGGTAGGAGGGAAGGGAAGGGAAGGAAGGGGTGGAAAGAAAAAAGAAAAAGAAAGAAGAGATAGATTGGTTAGGGTAAAGGCGCAGGGTCTGGACACGAGAGCGGAAAGTGACAAAAGAACGACGAGGATGATATCGGTATGAAGGACATTGCAAGGGGTAAGTAGCAGGTAATAAGTGACATTAAAAAGGGACATCCACATCCTCTTCTTTTTTATCTCTTTCCCACTCTTGTCAGCACATCTCCGTATCATCCATGTCTCTCTTGAGGTCATAAGCATAAGAAATGCAAGAATGGTCTGAGAAGAACGGCAAGAATGGTCTGAGAAGAACGAAACTCTCGTGTTGAGAATGTTGTCGATGATAAGGGTGCTGGTCTGTGTGTTGACGTGTTGACACTGTTGAGGAAGTGAGGTTGACATGTCGCAAGAGGCGATAGGATTGGAGGACTGACAGAGGAAGAGGATGAGTGGTTCAGGGTATTGTTGCTTGGCTATTGGTTGTTGTTGGTTTTGTTGAAGGAAGTATTACCAAAGAAGGAGTAGGAGATTGTTGGTTGGTCGGGTCGTTAAAGGGAAGGAGTAGGGGTCATGAAAAAAGGGAGCAGTGAAAGAGATATGAAATGGGGATATGGAATGGGGATATGAAATGGGGATATGTGGGAAACCAAAGAAGGAAGGGAGTGAAAGAAGAAAAGGAAAGGAAGGAAAGGAAGGAAAGGAAAGGAGGGGAAAGAAAGGAAAGAAAGGAAAGGAAAGGAAAGGAGACGAAAAGAAAGTGACAAAGGATGAACAAGAGTCGATGTGTTCGCTTTGGTTCGTTCATGTATTTTTTGCCCCCATTGCGCTTCCTTCCGCACGTCTACTGAGCCATATCAACATGAATGTGATAGACAACCAACAAAACAAATAAACAAAATGCAGCACAATATTGGATACACTAGCGCACAAGCACAGGGGGCACCGACCCACGCTCATTCTTTTCTTTTCTTTTCTTTGCCCATTGTCCTTTTTGCTTAACAAATTATTCAATGCCTGCTGTCCTCTGCCATGTCCCTCTCCAGAGTCAGGCGAGGAAGGCCAAGGCGAAAATAATAATGGTAATAATAATGATAATAACAATGATGATGATAATAGTAATATGTCAGTCCAACAGCCATCATCTGTTGGACTTTTATCACCAATGAACGGGGCCTTTGCCCTGAACAAGGAAGAACCGGAAGGACAAAAAAAATCATCCTTTTTGGATGCAGCCTCTCTGGAATAGATGTTCGCTCCCGTTCATTACGTGTTCAATTTCAAGGGACAAAAGGTGCCACTCGAGCCCCTTGGAAAAGAAGTATTTCTATCATTTGAGCACTGGTCCCTACTTCCATCTTCCGCGCTTTGTTTTGATTCCATAGGAACCATGCATAAACACCAACTGAATAAAATAAATAGAAACATACAGAAACATACAGAAACACACGCTTGCAGGAATGAGAACGATAAACCCAGAAGAAACAGAGATGGTAATGAGCACTTTGTACTCTTTTCTTTTTTGCGGGTGATAGAGAGTCCACACACAGGCCAACCAAGGATGCAACAAAGATAAAAAGAATGAAGGAGGGGGGCATGAGGAGGAGTCGAGAGATTGCAGGAAGTGGTACAGGCTTATGTACTGTTGTCCATGTAAGAGATAAACGGCGCATACTTACAGTTAACGTGTGAATAAAGGTTTAGAGGAAGGAGACAGGAGAAGAGGAGAGAAGGAGAAGTAGGAAGGAGATAAGGAGAGAAGGACAAGAAAAAAAAAAGCAAGGATGTCAAAAAAAAATAGGTCGGCGAGGAATGTGGGCGGAGATGCTTCTTATATACGTCTTCGGAGACACGCAAGGATTCATTAGGCACAAGGATTAAAAAACGATAGCAAGTACTGTGTAAAGAGCACTCGTGTTGATGGTAAACTGAACCATTGTCGACAAGAAGTAAGTAGAGGCGTGTGCAACGATTGTGCAAGGATACCGTGGAGTGGGATGTTACAAAGAAACGGGAGATGGAGGTACATGATGGTAGCAATTCATGCAATTTGAAGCAAAACTGCAATGTGGACCGGAAACGGATGTTCTGGGACTAGTCAAAGGGAAGAAGGTTGAGGGGAAGGGATGTGATGATGATGTGGATTATGTCAAAACGCGTCCATGCTCAATGCTGCTCTCGTTACTGTGTCCCCCTTCTGTACAATTCCCTTTCCCTCTCTCATCGGCGCATGGCATGGCCCAAGTGTTCGAAGGTTACATTTTTCACAAGGCAAACAAACAAATTTATTCAGTGGAAAAGCCCTTATTGTACTTCCCGTTGCTATTTACCGTTCTTTGTTTTTCTCCTCACCCTCCTCTCCCTCGCCTGCACATTAGACGTTATCGGAGGTGGCATGGGCATGGGTGAAGAGGAGTGATGTGGATGGGGAAGTGGATATTTAGGCACATATTCGGAGACACATGCCATCATCCCTTTTGCCCAATGCATTTTGTGCACTGTCCATGTCCATGTCACTTCCCGACCGCCGTTTCTTCCACAAGCTCAAGCGCAAACGCCATGGTCAATAGTTAAAGGGAAATGCCACAGGACATAAAACCCTCGGACTTGATGCAGACGCGTCTATCGGTCATGCTTCTCTTTCATCCCACTTCCCTCTTCCACTCATCATCAATTAACAACAACGACAACAAACAAACAGCATTGTCAGTCCTTCCCTTGGAAAAATGGTGACCTGATCCAAGGACCCTTGAATCTAATACGCGGTCCTTCACTCCGTTCTAATCTCCAAGTTAGATTACACAAGGAAAGCGAGATGCGCGTGAAAGAGTCCTCTTCATCAATCGAAGAGAGAGCAAAGGGCGGCGGAGAAGAGTACAGACAACTTTTTATTTGGGTCAGTCGGTCTCTCTGTCCATTCTAAACCAAGCTTCAGTTTTCCCTCGCACACATACTTTCACCTCGACTCTATTTGGGCTCGATCGCCGACCTTGTTTTTTATTTTGTCGTCGGTAGCTAACTACAGCCATTCCTCGATCTCAAGTCAAGAGACGGAGACCATTTTTCTCATCCTCGTGGCATTTCAATGACTCTTTGTCTCGTGTCTCTTCATTCCACTAGTCTCTTCATTACTTCCTCCCTAATAAGCCCTTGCGCCCTGTTCACTCGTTCTCTCGCTCCAACTACAACAACAACCACACATAAAGGTATGACGATAAAGTAAATAAAGGGCCGGCCTGAGGTTAATTTTTTGTGTGTGTCAAGGTCATCTTCCCGGCAAGGGACAACAAAGTGAGCATTGTCACAAGCCAACGATATATTTTGTTGTTGTTGTGAGTGGGCGGAGTATTATTCAATAGGCGAGCTCAAACGACGAAGGAAAAGAAGGGACGAAAGGGAGCGAACAACGTGTTGGATTTATTTCATGTGAGCATGCACATACGAAATTGGACACTGGCATTAAAATGGACAGGGGCCACCCTTTCCCTCGGCATGCTAACAGCGCCACACCCCCGTTTATCACTTGTGTCGATAGAGAAAAGGAGAGAGGGGACGGGGGAGAAGCGGGGAAGATACGAATGCCTACTTCATCCTTCTTGTCTGTCTGGTCGTAGAGCAGAAAGGTAGTATCAATGGTCCCTATCAAAAGAAAAAGAAGTAAGGCCTTGCGTTCAGTTGCTTTTTCTTCATCAATGACTGATTGTTCTTCGACGATCATCCACCCCCAACAACGCTAGCAGGAATCGCGTTGGCATTTTCTTTTTTGACACTTTAGAATATACATGTTGCCTTTCGCCCAACTTGTGTTTAGTGTTCGAGGGTGCGTGGCTCCTTTTGAACACGACTGCGGTGAAGTCTCGGAAAAGTGACGCGATCGGCCCCTCTTCATTGGTTGTGGGTTTCTGGGTCAGACACGGAGTCAGGGACATTCCTTGTTTCTATCACACATTCAGGAAGGTATCAAACGCATACAAAAAAAAATCCGGGCGAAACAAGTGAGCGGGATTCAAAAAGACCTCATGTTTGCCGCACACGTTATTTCTTTCGCGCTCGTACCAGGTCCATCAGCATCATTCGACCATGCACGCATGCGAGATAAAAAACCTTGCTCAAGGAGATGCATGCACACCCTTGTGTAGTCCCAGCTGGGTGTGTGTTTCGCAATCTCATGCCCATGTTGCTCCTACGACCGCGTACAATATGTTTTCTTACACTTCTTTTCTATTTTATCCTTTTTTTTTCGCTACTTTGTAGTGACATCTGTACTTTTTTACTTGTCTAGTGCTTGACAAAAAAAGTAGTAAGTCCAGTCCGTAACTTTCAAAATAGAAGACAAACCATACTACTGTTGGAATGTTCCCATGTCATACTTCTATCGGGCACTGCCTTGAATCACTTGATCCTGCCTAGCAATTTCTTGGATCTTGGGTTGGCTTTGATGATTTGAAATGGGAGATCTCAAGACGTTTCTCGATTTCTTGGACACGCGTGGCAATAGATAAACGGGCCGTTCAGTATACCTTTCAAACACGGCGTGGTCTAGGGATCGCTTGTTGCCTTTTGTTATCCTAATGTGTTGACTTGAAACTACAGTATGGCTAGCCGACGGATTATCTCATACGTGTGGATACAGGCCATCCTCGAAGTCGTGAAGATCTCCGAGACCCCTGACAGACAAAAGTAAAAATGCTTTCTTCTCTTCTCGGATGCCACTATTCTTGTCGGAGTGACGAGGTCGCGACGTTGTTTATGCGAATTGGGAGACGTCAAAGGATCTTCCTTTCCGTTCAGCTGCTTGTTGAAGGCGTATGTTTTTTAAGTGCAACAAAAGGATCCAAAAGTGGAGCAAGTACGCCAATGCCGGATATGGTATTGTCCGCGTTTTGGAATGGTGTTCGAGAATGGGATCAATTGTTTGGTGAGGATGTTTGCGGTTTGAACATAAACGACACCTTTGGATTCGATGAGAAGCTTGAACGCATTTATTCATTCTTTTTCTTTTTGTCAAGCTCCGAGATGTTGCCGATACAGATTGGAAAAAGAAATAAAAAGGCCGTTGCCATGGCTGAAAAACATCAGAACATGCCGTCACTTTGGAATTCGTTTGTGTAAGTGATCAATCCCATCCTTTCGAATGACATTTATTTATCAGTGAGGCTCGAATGCTGATACTTTAAACCTCCTGTACGTTTTTCATTATTATTATTATCATCATCATCTTGCAGAGGCCCATGCGATATGTTGTTGTCTTGGTGCTCGGGCTTGCGAACGGTAACTAAAAATCTATCACGCTATTGACCGCCGTGGCTCCACCAAGTGGAATCATGTACACGGTTGAATGGTCTAGGCGGGCTGTCCGATTCATTGTCCTTCTGTGGTGATCTTGAACCCTTGTTTGCAGTTATTGAAATCGGGGAGAGGCGATGGGGTAATTGTTCGAGTTCTACTACTCGATTGATATCTTTTTGGCCGCCGACGATTCGCGGGTACAGAAGTCTGTCTTCTGACAATGGAGACGGACCAAATGGTGCATGGACTTCAAGGACCTCGACAACGAAGGTGGTTCTTTGATTGATACATAAATATTTTTGTTGACGGTCTCTGGATCTTTTTTGTATGTTTTTTTCTAGATGGGGACTATGGTGGCTGGAAGGTTAGTGGAGGATACATCCAGCTAACTTGGCTCATCTTTGGAGTGCAGAGACAGAAGACGTGTGGAGCCAGAATGGAGGCTGAAAAATGGATTTCGTCGAGGATGGGTAGACTGTTGACCTTTTTTTTTATTGAGCTTGCATGCATTGTACAATAGAAAACACCGCCGCTTGTTCTTTGAGATGTCGATATTGTTGGTTGGAATGTAGTGAAGGGCGCGAATGGTGCTGGTCTGAAAAACGAGAGAAGAAAGAGAGGAAAAGAAAGAATTGGAAAACACCCTGGTACAAGTTGTTCTCCATTTCTTTTCTTGTTGGGTCTGTCGCATTGTCGCGCCAAGGGTCCCAACAAGATCTGTAACCTAAGATGTCATCATTTTCTTGTTAGAGTACATTACTATTGTACACTTTCTTTTTGTCCATCTCCTTCCGTAGCAGTAGCAGCAGCGGCTCTCTTAAGTATGTACCTCTCCATGCCACGCGTAATGGCCTGATGTCCCCCTCAAGTGACATGGGCTTGGCTGCACATGAATGTAATAAAAACTTGATCTTCTCACATCCACACTCCACTGTACACCATCGTGGTCGAAACAGAGAGGAATGATAGGCTGAGGGAACAATCCCTCATGGTCTCACGCACTACGCATCTCCACACTCACCACTATCGCCACGATTACCAGCAGGACGACGACATTCCTGATCATGGGTTCCATGACGCCAGAAGGGCTGGTCCTTTCCTTTGACATGTCTCTCCTTGCCGAAGAATAACAAAGATGGATGTTGTGCCCCCTATTTTTACTCAGTAGAGAAGAAGCCGTTGTTGATCTGTGTGTGGTCACGGATCATGCGAGTGCGTCGGGATAAAAAAAAATTAGGGGCAAAACTCTTTTTTTGTATCTTTTTCTCCATTATCCATGAGGGAGAGGACTGGAACTAGACTCACAAGATACGTCGTCGTCAGTCAATTAAGTAGCAAAGCATCCGTTTGAGTGAGGGGTCGGCTATGTTTTGAATGGAGAGATGGGCACATTGGGCCGACTGGCGACGAGTCTCGATGTGGTCCACTTTCCCATCGCACCCTTTTTTTCTTCAGTGATGTTATTCGTACTAAGGCTGTGCGCGAGGAAGCTGTGGGGGTATGAGTATAATGCAGTGCAAAAATCGACAGGTTTCGTTCCTGACGTCCCTGAACACAAAAAGAAGATATCTGTTTAGGATTTTGCTTTTGGTGCTCATCGTGTGTCTACGTGTGACCATATTCCTTTTCTTTCCTGAACCCCCATGGCCAATGGCTGACTTGATGAGTGGTCAATGACGATGTAGCGGAAGGGGGACGGTCAAGAATCAATCTCCCTCCAAATACGAAAAACAAAAAACAATGAAAAAACGAACAGATAAGGACAACTTGAGCATGCTTTTGTTGATGTCTTGCTTTTTTCTTTCCAGGTGGCATTCCTTCCCTTTCTCAGCCCTGTGTCATTTGTCCAGGGAACACAGGCCATCAGGTCCTTTGTCCCTTTTTGATGTTGTAGAGGTGGTGCGTCGATGATGCTGTTGTTTGGATGTTTTCTTTTTCAGGGCGGGAAAATATTGCATGAAATGCTGAATGACCTTCTCTCTCGTTCTCGCGCCCTCCTCCCTCGTTCTCCCTCTCGTTCTTGTGCACGAACACCCACGCTTCAGTCTGCAGAACCATTGCCTTTTGACTCTCTCACTCAATGGGCTTGCATTGTCAACCAGGAAGTGGGTGTGTGGGTTATCTTTAGTGGTATAAATGTGGTTGCTCCCTCAAAGGATCAAAGATGAGTGCAAGGTAACTGCTGCTTCCGAAAGTTTGGGCATGGATGGCGCGAAGGAAGACACACACAGAGAGAGGGGGGAGAGCAATGGGCCCGGACCATGATCTTCATGGTAGCCCGCTCATGATCCTTGTGAAAAATGCCTTGGGCGCATCATTGCTAATGGGCTTGAGGAAGGGCATGTCAATAGTTCATTTTTTTCTCCCTTCTCTATGCTTCTCTTTCCCCCGATTCCTTCAAACAGGGGGGTAGGGACAATGGTACATGATTGACAATGCTCTTTCTCCTTCCTCCTTCCTTCAAGGACTCTTCCGCGCAGGAAGGGTTTAGCAAAAAATTAAGGACGGGATGCATAAAAAACAAGGAGCTCAATCAATACAACGCCCATGGTTGACACTTGTTCCCTTCTTCCACCTTCCTCCTGTATACCCAAGGGGTGAGTCTACAAAGGGAGAGTGTGTGTGAATGTACTGCAGAAGCAGCGGCTCGCCTTCCCCCCCCTCTTCCCTGACAAAAGACAAAGAGACAAGAGGACAGAGAGAGAGTGTGTTGTATTTGCTTTTTGCTTTGATCGGTGTCGTGTCACCAGACATGTCATCCCTTTTGCGCACCAATTTTTTTTGCTGTCCATCTCTCACCCTTTTTTTTCCTCCACTGCTCTCATGCTCTCATTGAACAAGCAAGGGAATGAGTAAGTATACAATACCTCCATGTCGCATGGTGACTTTGCAAAGGCATTAGCAAAACAGCAAATAGTCAAAACCATGGGTCAACCCAATTAACACCTCTTGAACGGGATGCAACCAACCAAAAGGGAGGGAAGGGGGCTTGACCTTGGGACAAGAGTGAGTAGTGCAACGTAGCACTGGATGCCATGCCCACACTTTCAGCAATGCCAATGCTCCCCGTCGCCGTAGCCATTGTCTTGTACAAAAGGGCTTTCCCCATCCCTGCCATCTATCTATTTCAACCAACCCCTTGTGTCCTCCTTCCCCCTTCCATAAATACGCACGCCTTTCTTCCCTCCTCCCTTCTTCTTCCTTTACCTTCTTTCCAGCTATCCCTCCACTCTTTTCTTCCCTTCACAACCAACCTGCCCCGAACCCCTTCCTTCTCTGCAGCTCTGTCACTCTGTCTCCTTTTTTCCTCGTTTGTCTTTCTTTTCTTGTCTCTTATTCGTCCGTACGTTTCTTCATTCTCCCTGACCTTTGTCCTCCTCCACGTTGATAATTGTCTCTGTCCACTCCATTCCTCCCTCACACCGATAAACAACTGAAAATAACAAAACGCTCGTTTCTTAACTCTTCTTTCTTCTTTTCTTCTTTCACCCTTCAATAATCCCCACAGCATATTCACTTACCAACTCCCAAAGCACACCGACTGTATCTTTCCCGCCCAACCTTCCTTCCATATCCAAGACTCAAGTTTTCCTCCACAGCCACTCCTTGGCCTTTCCTTCAGAACTCCTCACCGACCACCATTTGCATACCCTTGCGGGCCCTTTTACGACAACAACCAACCTTTAGACCGCTTACAAGGCAGCTCGAGCGAAACCAAACTTAACGGCAATAACAGCAACGACTCGAGCAAGACCTTTTTTACGACAAGATAACAATTCGCTTCTACAACCAAGGTGAGATGAGCAGGAGTAAATCATCAAGGAGCGTTTCGAGTGGGTTTCTTGTTTTCATTTGTTCTAGTCTTCGTTTCAATGGCGTTCAGTGAAGAAAGCGCCCGTTTTCTATCGTTCTGACACACTCCTCGACTGTTGGGTTTTGCTCTTTCTCTTTTCCGTCCTTGGTTTCTACTGCTGCCACTTAGCAATCCAGCACATATATCCAAACTTCAACTCAAGTACCCACATACCTCCCTTTACACCAACACGAACAAGAAACAATGGCCATGGTTTCTAATCCAGTATCAAGGTTGGACGCGCTCTCCAAGAACCGAATCTCGTTCCGCGAGGACTTGAACGATACCCGACACTGTGACGACGGTTTCAGCAGCGACGACAGCCTGAGCGATGATGACGACGACGAGACTTCGCCCTCCAAGGATCCGGAGACGGCAGAGATTGCGAGCATGGAAAGGAAATCGCTGAAGTACCGCAAGTCGTTGACGATGTTGAATCAACTTAAAGGGTTGAAGTTGACGAGTGTCGCTGAGAATGGAGGCAGTGGGGATGGTGCGAGTGGAGCGAAGCAGCCGACGAGAGAGCACCTTTTGGCGGCAAAGAAGAGTATTGATGACCTTACAGCGTGGGTAAGTTTGTTGGGTGGCGATTGCTTTCTTTGTTTGCATGGTCTGTATGTCCTGGGGGGTTTTTCGTGTTGACTGAGGGGGATCATATGTTGACTGACCATGCCATTTATTTTACTGAATGGATTGTATCAATAGGTGAATGCTGGTGCGTTTGAAGGAGACGATCCTTTTGGCGACGACGATGATTGAACACAAGAAAGGAAGATGAGCTGGCTATTTGGATACTTGCTGTCTCCTCTCTTTCACCCTTGACACCTTGCACAATCAGGCGCGGCTGTCTTGAGTCCGTGGAACCCTATTCCCTTCAACCCGCGCAAAAAAAATAATTTGTCTCCACTCACACTCTCCCAAACTTATTTACCCTGTCCCCCCTTTCCCACCCATACAAGCACTCCCCACACTCACACTGCCCAATAATAATAAAAAGCGGTTTCTCTTCTGGCCCCGATCTCTTTTCTTCTTCATCCCTCACTCTCTCCACTCCATTCACCTACACATCCACAATGGCCTTTGCTCTCGCCCGTGCTGCCTCATCCCGCGCTTCCCACTGGAGCGTCAAGGTACATTCCTCGTCTTTCTTTCTCTTCCCCTGTCTCGCATCTCACTCATCTTGCTGCTCTAGCTCCGTTTTTTATTTCTCTTCCATCGACATTTGATCCGATCAACAAAGTCGCTAACCAACCGCCTTTCTATTCATTACTTCTCATCATATAGTCGTTCCACTCGTCCAGCACTAGCTTGGTACATACTCACCCCGTCGCCTCATGGACTCGATAAAATGGACGAGAATCAACTTGGACAAGTGTCTCAATTGCTCAGGACACACCCACCTAACCAGACACCCACCTTCCCTTTCTTCCCTTTTTTAACTTTTCTAGCATGGCGTCAAGCACGTCGGTATCCTCGGAGCCGGTCAGATGGTACGTTTTTTCTTCTCAACCACGTTCAAGATTGACACCGTACGCGGTTGACTGTCTACAGCGGACAATGTGAATAGTAGCCCCCCCTAACACCTATCTCACCTTTTTTGTCGTAATTTTGTAGGGTTTGGGAATTGCTTTGGTTGCTGCCAACGTCGCCAAGCTCCCCGTCTTGTTGCTCGACACTAACGAGGCTCAGCTCAACAAGGGCATGAAGTTCATGGGTACGTCCTTTTAATTCTTCTCACACTGTGAACCCAACGACAACTGGCATCTGTTGTATCACCCTTTGGGCGAGAAGTGTATCCGGGGCACGAAAATCGCCCACCCGGGGAAGCCGTGGGAAAATTATCCAATCGGGACCTGTTTTATATTTTATTTCTTGCTTACACCCCAAAAATATCACCCAAAAGAAAAGAGCAATTGAAGCTAACAGTCATCTTTGTCTGCGACTAAATAGACTCGTTGTTAAAGAAGGATATTGCCAAGGGCCGCTTGACCGAGGCTCAGGCCGAGGAGACCAGATCGCGCGTTAAGACGACCCAGAACATGGCCGATTTCGCCAACGTCGACTTCGTGATCGAGGCTGTCTCCGAGAACCCCCTCCTCAAGGCCAACCTCTTCCGTGACCTCGCCCAGGCTACCCCTAAGCACGCCATCCTCGCCTCCAACACCTCGAGCATCAGCATCACCAAGATTGCGGCCGCTGCCAAGGGTCGTGAGGAGCAGGTGATCGGAATGCATTTCATGAACCCCGTCCCTGTCATGAAGCTGGTCGAGATCATCCCTGGTTTGGCTACCTCGAACGAAGTCTTGAGGACTACCAAGGATTTGGCAGTTGCTATGGGCAAAACCTGCACCGTCTCCCAGGATGTCCCCGGTTTTGTTGCTAACCGTCTCTTGATGCCCTACATCAACGAGGCTATCATCGCCTACGAGACCGTACGTTTATCCCCTATGGTTGTTTTTTTGTATTGCATCGTTACCAAATTGTCGAGCAACCATACTCACACTTTTTTCTTTTATGCGATTGGAACAATAGGGCATTGCCAGCAAGGAGGATATCGATACCACCATGAAGCTCGGAACCAACATGCCCATGGGCCCCTTGACCTTGGCCGATTTCATTGGTTTGGATACTTGCTTGGCCATCATGAAGGTTCTCCACGAGCAGTTGGGTGACACTAAGTACCGCCCCAGTGTCTTGTTGAACAAGATGGTCGATGCCGGTTGGGTCGGCAAGAAGTCTGGACGCGGTTTCTACGTCTACTAAGCACATGATTGGCTTTTTTTGTAGAGTAGTTGTCATTCATTCACTAAATATATCATAGTATTTTTCATCGAGACCTGTCTATGGTTTATCGAATGGTATGTCTGCGAGGAAGAGGAAAGGAGAAGAGGGGATTAGGAGATTTCGTCGTTCATGGCCATCAAGAGGTCTGTCTGCTCCTCGACGCGAAGGGCCTGAATGAACTCTGGTAATGCGGCGCCGTCAAGGACAGATTCGAGCTCGTGCAACGTCTTGTTGATTCTATGGTCCGTCACACGGTTCTAACCAACGGACGTAATTGACAAAAGAAAACAAGTCAGCGGCTTATTGATATAATTCATAGCACGAGAAAGATAACAAAAACAGACAAGCCAAGATCCGCAACATACCTGAGGGAAGTTGTAGGTACGGATCTTCTCAGACCTCGACCCACCACCAACCTGTGCCCTCCTCGAATCTCTCCTCTCCAACGCCAGTTTCTCCCTTTCCCTCTCATACAACTTGGCCCTCAAAATCGTAAACGCTTTCGCCCTGTTCTTCTGATTCGACCGCTCATCCTGAATAGCGACTACGATTCCCGTTGGCAAGTGCGTCAATCGAATTGCAGAATCCGTCGTATTAACCTTCTGTCCTCCTGCACCCGAAGCCCGGAAGACGTCGACGCGGACGTCAGCGTCGGCGATTTGGACTTGGACTTCTGTGGGTTGGGGCATGATTGCGACAGTGATTGTGGAGGTGTGGATGCGGCCTTGGGTTTCTGTGGCGGGGACGCGTTGGACGCGGTGGACGCCTGATTCGTATTTTAGGTGGCCGAAGACGTTGTTTCCTGTGATTGCTATCGTCGCGTCCTGTTGGAAGTATGGTTTTTGATGGAAGGTGTGAAAAGGTTAGGGTGTGTGTTAGTTGGCGTTGCATGATCTGATCTGGGTTCTGAGATAAGGTGTTTGAAAGCACAATACGTGTGTGCAAATACCTTGATAGCACCAAGTCCGTCATGGGTCTTGGAGATCTCCTCCCACCTCCACCGCTGGCGTTCCACAAAGCGCTCATACATCCTCAAGATATCCGCCGCAAACAACCCGGCCTCATCTCCACCCGTACCCGCCCGGATCTCCAACAACGCATTACCCTCATCCGCCAAATCCTTGGGCACCATCGCCAGCAATAACTCATTCTCCCCATCGATAATCGCCTCCGTCGTCGTCTTGATCTCATCCTGCGTCATCTCCAAGAGATCCTTATCTTCGTTCGTCAGCGGATCATCGAGCATTTGTTGGAGAGAGAAGAGGTCCCGGATTTGAGATTCAATCTCGGAGTACTTGTCGGTGATGAGGGAGAGGTCGTGGAGTTGTTTTGTCAGTTCTGCAAATTTTGTAGGGGAGAGGTCGTCGGCGGATGAAGTGGAGGTGCCGTTGATTTCTTTGAGGATCTTGTCGTGGAGGTCTTTCATGGATTGGAGTTTGGGTTTCATCTTGTTCAGCATTGGGTTTTGGAACAAGAACTCTGGCGATGAAGCGGAGGAGGAGGATGGTTTTTTGTTGAAGGCGAGGGAGGATGTTGAGAATCCTTGATGGCTGTGAGATAATTGATCGTGGGTGTAGGTGTCTCCTGTGAGGATGAGGGGCGTCGATCGGACGAAATTATGGTATCCCGAAAGCTGTGATATCCTGCCGCTGGTGGATATTGATCCAAGGGGTTGTCCGTTGGTAGTCTTTGTATGAATAGTAGCCTTGAGGGTCCGGGAGAGAGTCCATGGTGCACTTGATATGCGCCGGGCGAGAGTGATTGTGGCCTGCCTTGAGACGGTGGCTGCAGCGGAAAGACATGCGACCATTGCAGCTTATGAATGTGTTTGTCGAGGGCGGAATGAGGAGCTTTGTCTGCGTTCAACCGTCGAGGCTGAATTGGACAAGGCTAATTGATTCTACAAAGCCACCCTGTTGTTCTTCGCAATAGAGATCACGTGCGGTTCTTTTTTCTTCCCACGGTGTACACCCCGTAATTGATTTCCCCACTCTTTCAGTTCACCCTCAGAGAGACTCGCAACTCCCACAGACACAGGACTCACACAGGGGCACTTTTTTACTCCATCTCTTTTTTTTTCTTTCACCCCTCACTCACTCCCCACTCTTCCTCCCCTCCTCCTTAACAAACACACAACATGAGCATCCTCTACAAGAAGGCTCTGGTCCCCATGGTCTCCAGGGCAATGGCCGCTTCTACCCTCACGCGTTCATCCGTTGCTTTGATGCGCCCCTCGATGGCCGTCGGCATGGTCCGCGCCTTCCACCGCCAACACGAGGATCAGTCCACCATCCTCCCCAGCAACATCGATACCCACAAGCCCCAGTTCAAGGTAACTTTGAACGAATATAGGGAGTTCATGGCTCGGGAAAGAAAAAAAAGTGATGGGCGTTTTCGAATCACGGATCCGATCGAGAAGAAAGAAGAGGGGGGGAGGGAAAGGGAAAGGGGTGTGTGATTTGTGTTCAATTATTCGGCTAAAGCGACATATGCACTAACACCTTTGCGTTGACCCTCAATAACAATAATACAAAAACACAAATAGGAAAATGCCGCCAGGATGCAAGCCCTTGTTGACGACATGAACGCCAAGGTTGCCGAGATCAAGCTTGGTAAGGGGACCTACTACAGAGCTCGGAATAGACTCTTTTTTTTTTTTTTTTTCTTGCAAAAGTGGATGGTGTATTTTGAGGGCGAATGAACGTGGGAAAATTGAGAAAAGAAATCGTCGGCCATTTTACTTCTGGCTCTTCGAGTCAGTATGATCGTTTTTAAACTTCTCCGACTCACTATATGCTTTTTTTTTTACCTCTTTCCTTGCATGCTAACATAGGTGGTGGAAAGGTCGCTAGAGACAGACATCTTTCGCGCAAGAAGTTGTTGCCCAGAGATCGGTATGTTGTCGTACTCCATGTCACGGAGTATTTCTTTCTGTTTGTTTGTATGCTTTACAAGGAAGAAATGAGTCAAGTTAAAGCAAACAGCGGATCACACTCGATTTGCACAAGCGAAATGTGCTCTCTCGCTTGGATTAACAATCGACCATGCCGAACGGACAACTCACATTTTTGCCGGTGATACAAAACAAAGCTAACCAGTGCCGCTTCCCTCAACTTCCTAGTGTTGACCGCTTGCTGGACAATGGGTCTCCTTTCCTCGAGATTGGTCAGTTTGCTGGACATGAGCTTTACGAGGACAAGGTCCCTGCAGGAGGAGTCATTGCCGGTATTGGTCGCGTTAACGGCGTCGAGTGCATGATCGTCGCCAACGACCCCACCGTCAAGGGAGGCACCTACTACCCCATCACTGTCAAGAAGCATTTGCGTGCTCAGGAGATCGCCAGGGAGAACCACCTGCCCTGTATCTACTTGGTCGAGTCTGGTGGAGCCAATTTGCCCCGCCAGTTGGAAGTCTTCCCCGACAAGGAGCATTTCGGACGCATCTTCTACAACCAGGCCAACATGTCTGCTATGGGTATCCCCCAGGTTGCTGTTGTCTTGGGATCCTGCACAGCCGGTGGTGCCTATGTCCCTGCCATGGCTGACGAGAGTATCATTGTCCAGAAGCAGGGAACCATCTTCTTGGCCGGTCCCCCTCTGGTCAAGGCTGCCACTGGAGAGATTGTCTCTGCTGAGGATTTGGGAGGCGCTGATATGCACTGCAAGGTCTCTGGAGTCACCGATCACTTGGCCGTTGATGATGAACACGCCTTGGTCCTTGCCCGCCGTGTTATCGGCAACCTCAACTACCAGAAGAGGCCCCAGGTAACCATCTCTTCTAGCTTTGTTTTTTTCATGATCATTGACTCGTCGAATGCGAGAGTATATTGAACTAATTCTTATTTTGTATCTCTTCATATCGCTGAAAACAGTTGTTGATGAAGAAGGTGGAGGAGCCTTTGTACCCTGCCTCGGAGTTGGGAGGTATTGTCGGCGATAACCTCAAGAAGGCGTTCGATGTCAAGGATGTCATTGCCCGTATTGTCGATGGATCCAAGTTCAGCGAGTTCAAGGAGAACTACGGAACCACTGTTGTCACTGGATTTGCTCATATTCACGGCTACCCCGTCGGTATTGTTGCCAACAACGGTATCTTGTTCTCAGAGGCCGCTCTCAAGTCTGCCCACTTTGTTCAGCTCTGCACCAAGCGCAAGATTCCCCTTGTCTTCTTGCAGAACATTACTGGTTTCATGGTCGGATCGTCTGCTGAGCAGGGCGGTATTGCCAAGAACGGAGCCAAGATGGTCACTGCTGTCTCGTGCGCCCAGGTGCCCAAGTTTACCGTGATTATTGGAGGCTCGTTCGGAGCCGGTAACTATGGAATGTGCGGTCGTGCCTACTCTCCTCGCTTCTTGTGGATGTGGCCCAACGCCCGTATCTCTGTCATGGGAGGCGAGCAGGCTGCTGGTGTGTTGTCGACCGTCAAGAGGGCCGGTATGGAGAAGCGTGGTGAGAACTGGGATCCCAAGGATGAGGAGGCGTTCAAGAAGCCCATTGTCGATCTCTACGAGAAGGAGGGCCACCCCTATGTCTCTGGCGCCAGACTTTTGGACGACGGTACCATTGACCCCGCCGATACCCGTGCAGTCCTCGGCATGGGTCTCTCTGCAGCCCTGAACGCTCCCGTTACCGAGACCGAATATGGTGTCTTCCGCATGTAAACCTCTCTCCTTTTTCATTCTTTACCTTTTTACCTTTCATTATTTTGCAATAGATCATCCTTTTTTTTTCTCATTCCTTGTCCTATCCAACCATGACCATGATAATAAAATATCCCCCCTCTTTTTTATGCTTGTTGTTTCGTTGGCGCTGTTTGTGTTTGTGTTGTGATCGTGTTTGTGGAGGGGCAGTAAGTGTGATGGCGTGAGAAAGTGAGGAGAGAGGAGCGCAGTTCTGGAGAGCAAAAAGTGTTGAGCACCACAGGTAAGTAAAATATGCCTGGGGTTGAATCGTGGGACAAAAAAGTTAAGAAGGCTTTTTGTCTTCCCCTTTTGGCGCAACAGTGAAAGTAGACATGGGGTAAGTGAAGGGGGGGGGGAGAGAGAGGTCAGGGGATCCACTCCGTCATGGGCTTTCAAGTAGGACAGGGAGAAGAAAGGCAGCACGGCCAAAGAAAAGAGAAGGGAGAAGACAATTGGTAAAAGGTACGGAAATGAAAAACGTGGCCAATCAACGCTTGCTTCCCCATTTTCTTCCCACGGGGTAGCGAATTTCATCGCTTGAACTTTTTTGTTGTTTTTTGCGCTGTTGCTTCACGACGTGTGTCCATCTCCCACACCCATCCATCGACAAGGGGGGGAGGAGACACACTTGACTCAGACGAACAAATCGGAGAGATTTGTGAGCAGAACACTGCCAGAAGATACCTTCTTATCCTTCCCCTTTTCTTCTTTTCCTTTTTTCTTTTCTTTCTTCTTCTTCTTCTTCTTCTTCTTCTTCTTCATCCATCTCACCTCATCCCTGCATCTTCCCCATTCCCTCTCCACTCCACTCCATCATCACCCTCTACAAGTTCGCCCTTCCTTAGGATCCTCATCTCATTCCTCACTCCTTCTCTCACACGTACATAACACGTCCACATACACACAATGTTTGTCCAAAGAGCTATGCGCCAGGCCACCAAGGCCCAGACCATCTTGGGTGCCTCCCCCTCAAAGTACACCGCCAAGGTCCTCTCATCCTCGCGCCTCTACAGCACTCCCGCCCTTGCCCCCCTCGACGCCTCCAAGCTCGAGATCAACGAGTCCAAGAACCACAAGGCCCTCCAGGAGAACTCGCAGTTGGTCTTCGGCAAGACCTTCACCGATAACATGCTCACCATCGAGTGGGAGGCCGGAAAAGGTTGGGGTACCCCCCAGATCAAGGAGTACGGAAAGCTCCAGTTGGACCCCTCCGCTGTCGTTTTCCATTATGCCTTTGAGTGCTTCGAGGGTATGAAGGCGTACAAGGATAAGGATGGAAAGACCCGTCTCTTCCGTCCCGATATGAACATGAAGCGTTTCAACCGCTCTGCCCAGCGCATTGCCCTTCCCGTAAGATTTTTCTCTTTACAATTCTGGTGCCCTTGCAGGATGCCTGCATGCTATTGCTTGCCCTATTGATAATCAATCCGACGCACCTGTGTCACGACGGGGACTATTTTCCTGTTTGTTGGTTTCTAATATGCACCCATTATTACCTCTGCAACGAAAATAGAGCTTTGAGGATGGGGAGCTCACCAAGTTGATCAGCGAGTTCTTGAAGGTTGACGACCGCTGGATCCCCAAGGGTCGCGGCTACTCTCTCTACCTTCGCCCCACCATGATCGGCACCCAAGAGTCCCTCGGAGTCGGCGCCTCAAACAAGGCCTTGATCTTTGTCATTGCCTCGCCCGTCGGCCCTTACTTCCCCTCGGGCTTTGCTGCCGTCAACCTGTTGGCGACCTCGGATAAGGTCCGTGCCTGGCCCGGTGGAACTGGTGATGCCAAGGTCGGAGGAAACTATGCCCCCTGCATCAGACCCCAGTTGGATGCCAACAAGGAGGGCTACCAGCAGAACTTGTGGTTGTTTGGATCTGACCATCAGGTCACCGAGGTTGGCACCATGAACTGCTTCGTCTTCTGGAAGAACGAGAAGGGAGGCAAGTATCTCATTGTTATTATATTTTTATGAGCCTTGATTGCATTTCGAGAATTATTGCTGTCAATTGGTGTGCAGAAGTATTAACGCAAATCTCTTGATAATGATTGACATGCTAATAGAGAAGGAGTTGGTCACCCCCGAGTTGGATGGATCGATCTTGCCCGGTGTTACCCGTGACAGTATCTTGAACTTGACTCGCGCCTGGGGCGAGTTCAAGGTCTCTGAGCGCAAGTTCACCATGACGGACCTTGTCAAGGCCGATAAGGAGGGCCGTATCATCGAGATGTTCGGTATGTTGCACTATCTTGTTTATCTTTTTTCTGTATTGAGTTATCCTGTGCTGTGCATGCGGAGGAAATTACTCATTTCTGTCATGAGTATACATCTCGGGAAAATACATCAATTGGGTGCAATCGGGCGATCAACGTATTTTTCGGAATTTGTCGTTGGCATACATGGGCGTGTGCTTGTTTGTTATATTTTTACCACGGTCTTGTACACACCTAAGGCATCGTTTACAATCGACGGCGTCTCATTGTTGACATCGACCATGGACCATAGACCAATCATCTTGTCATCTACTTTTGATAATCTTTCACGTCACTGACCCTGCCTCCCCCCCTATTCTTCCCAATTATTCAATAGGTGCCGGAACCGCTTGCATTGTCTGCCCTATCAAGAAGATCCACTACGAAGGCCACGACATCCACGTCCCCCTTGACCCCTCTGACAAGACCAGCCAGGCTGGAAAGTTGACTAAGCGCATCAACGACTCGATCATGGATATCCAGTACGGTGATGTCGAGGGCCCTAAGGGCTGGTCTGTCGTTGTCTAAGGAAACAAGGACTGACTTGTAATCACGCTTTCGACTTTAGCACAGAGATTCCCATTCACTTTTTTATTATGTCCGCTTGGCGGATGTATAGAAAGGAGCAACATGTAATTAAACACGATCATTGTCATTTCAGTCTGTTGTCTTTGGGGAAATATGTTTTGCGCGAATAAGAGAACATATGGTAGATAAGAGCTCCAGGCGACACAAGGCGTTTTGTCAATTGTCCCTATTCTTGCCAGTTTGCTTTTCAGCGTATTGTTTTGCAACGAAGAGAGCAGAAGTCAGTGTAGGCTGTGAACATGGTCACCGTTGGAGCAGTGGATCTGTTGGATCACTATCTTGTCCTTCAAAGTGGTCTGCAATCCACTCCGTGGTGGTGACTTATTTACCCACCTTCTGCTAATGGTGATCTTTTCCCTTTCTTTCCAGTCTAACGCGCCTGAGATTTTGATCAGTGATCACTGCTCGCCTCAGCCTCCGCGCGTCCCACCTTGACTGGTGTTTTTGCCCGCGTTGTTGTTAACGGCCACAAACATCGAAGGCCTTCAAGAAGGGACCATCTCGCTTCACTGTGAAGCAGGTGTAGTTGCATCGTTGTTCTTTTCCGTTTGGTGGCAGGTTTTGTTCGACACAGCGATAGTCCCCTTGTTGCGACACTTTGTTTTTGTTCCTGTCGGACACGCGTTTTTTTTGTTGTGCATCCATCCTTATGACTTTGTTGTAGAGTGTGATGTTGCCCGATGCTCTTCGATCGTTAAAAAAAAAAGGCTTGTTCGATTGCATTCCCTCTGCCACCTTTGGAGCATTGCATCAAATGCTATATATATCATCCACACCTCCCTCCTTTGTCGTTTTCTCTCCGTCTTTCAAAAGGCGCAACGCAATACATTGTGCCATATCCGTGCACAACTACATAAATGAACATGGAAGAAAAAAAATATGTGTTGTTTCTTGTACTACTGGGCTACCGAATCCGACAGGGGGCTCATCTATGAAAAGTGACACACAAAAACGGCGTCGAAAACTTTTCAATTCTTCTTGTGCAATGTTTTTTTTATATTTTTTATATTTCTTCTTGCAGTTCAAACGCCACACGCTCAAAGTCGCAGTGATATCGACTTGAACAAATAAAAAACATGAGAAATGGGTTAACTTTTAAAGGAGACAAAGCACTAGACACATTGTATCGTTCTCTGTTCTGGTGTTTGAAAAAAAAAACCCCTAACAGAAGCGCCGGCATCGAAGTTGAATATAACGTAAATAATGAAATCAACCCATTCTTTCCAAACTGTAAAAATCCCTGCACCACAAAGAACCATATACTGAAAATAAGCCATCTTCATGACCTGCCGAATTCTGTAGTTTCAACTGAGAGAAAAAAAAAATGTTAAACGAAAAAGGCGATCTGGATGGCCACTAGAGCGACGATCCATGAAGTGTTCTTTCTTTTTTGGTGGTCTGACGCCAACAAAGGAATTCCACCGATCTAACGTCTTGAACAAAAAAAAAAAAAAAAGTAAAGGCGGGTAGGCTAAGAGGAGACATGATAGCTGAGGAGCTATCGTTCTCTGTAGGCGGTTAGGAAAATATGTTTGAAATCCTGTCCGCGAGATATCACATAGTAATTGAACAAAACAAAATTGAAAAGTCGCGGTGTTCTTTTTCTTTATCAAATGCCATTTACAAAGCGCGCCCTGTCACTGGCGCCACTGGCCATCCGTGTATTGTACCCAGTAACAGTCATAAATCCGTCATTTCGTCTGTGAGAGAAAAGAAATGTGAAAACGAGAAGATCGATGAATGCAATCCAGGATCACAAACTTAAATCCTGCATGCTTGAATATTCATTCTTGTATTGCAAACGACGTACTGTTGCATCCTAGAAGGAACAACGATATAAAAGGCATGAGCGTGAAAAAGTACAGAGGTGCGGGGTCTTCTTCAACAATACAAATCAGTTCTGTTGACAAGTTAGAAGAATATGTTAGAAACGTCACCTGTATCGTGTATCTGATCTGCAGTTTTTTTTTTTTTTTTTTTTAATTCTTGGAATCATGGCTATCGGAAAGTCCTCCGGTCGAGTGTAAATACCACTGTCAGACGAAGAACACAAAAAGTGATATCCTCTTTTTTTTCTTCTTATTTGTTTCCTTCCAAAGCGCTTTTCTCTAGCTATCCGAATACAACAAAAAAAAAGGGGGGGACAGATAAAGAGGAGATACTTAGCGACACACATGAATCCGCTAGTTCTGCTATGAAAAAGGAACGTCAAAATCGACTTTTGGGATGACATGGCTACCACAGATCCTACATGTTCCAACTATTTTTGTAAAGCTGTGTATCAGCCAAAAATTTCGATTCAGCGCTAGCTTGAGGAGAAGGAGTTGGCGCTCGACGGTGAACAAGAGTCCATCAGCCAACATCGAAGCTCGCCTTCCATTCCATAAAGGTCAAAAACCCATGCGCGATCTATTACGTCAAGGAACTCTAAAAGGCGGAATAACGTTTGTTGGAGTTCTACCGTGGACCGGAAAATCGGTATAAGAGGCACAGCTGGGACATGAAACGGGTGAGACATCCCGAATGCCAGCTCATTGCGGACCGTTGGGCGGAAGCATCGGCGCACAGCGAGATCCAATGAATCGAGGCTTTATCGGCCTTGGACTTGGAAAATTCGGTACCCCGCAGTGGACTCTCTTCTCTGCATTCGATATTCGTTTATCTTGTCAAACAAACGACACAGAAGCCCAACACACAGAGTCACCGATTAGATAAGAAAAATGAAACTGGAAACCAAGAGAAAAGCGCGAACTGAAAGTTGCACAAGATATTGTTACTTATTTTTTTTGGAAAATCAATCATGGTACGGATTAAGATCAAATCGCGTTGCGATCGTTGACGGACAAGTGCACGCAAAATAAAATAAGATGAAGCAGTCTTGGTATTGTGTGTTCTGTCCTTGTCACCCACTTATCCTCTCTCCCTCCGCCACGGAATACAACCCTCAACACAGGAATTAAACTTTGAGAAATGCTTACACATGCATCCGTAAGCTAGGCTGAAAGGAACGCTCAACCAGGACTAGTATCCGAACCTATATATTTTTCAATATTTCTTTCATACAAATGCCCATCATGATCGGAGACGTTCGCATATTCCCAGCAAGAGGGATTTCTACATATTGATCATCATCATCCCAGGTCAACAAACGTTCAAAACCCCACACAGCTACCAGATCCTAGTTATTACACAATGAGCTACATAAGACATGGATCCCGTCACAGCTATCCCTTTATTAAAAAAAAACGTTCGATCTCAAATGTAGTGCTTCTTGCTTGAAGAACATAAACATGGCAAATAAGCGTCGCTTTGTTGAATCGCGTAAGCTTCACGTCGGAATAAAAAGGTCTAACCAAATAAGAGCGGCACTGAATGGAGTGAATTGGACGAATTATTTTTGAACAACGTGCTAATCATGAATTCTTTACGTGGATTTATTTGTCATAAAAACCTCTGGGCCGAAAAATCGTTTGAGCAGAGGTAACCTGATAGACAGGGCGCCAGATCCTAGTTGGAGAAGGTCTTGTTCAGATGAGAAAATATTGAGGCACAAACAGAGAGTCGCATAGGATGAGGTTTGTCTTCACATCTTCACCTTGAATATTGATTTTCACGTACAAAGGAGGTTGGAAAAGAACATTGAACATGGAATGAATGGATCGATCGATGTTGTCCATCGATGTTTATAATACCTAAAAAATAACATAGCGTTCATGGAAACAGTGAGACAAACGGCATCGGTTGATTGGTGCTCTAAGCATGAAAAAAAAAATCATCAACAAACCATGCCGACTACTTCACCTTGTATTTGTCCCATGCACCCTTCATTACCCAATATCTCCTCAAAGGTCGCGTCCCGCAATCGCAATTTATCAGGGCTTTTGTTATGCACACACATCACCGTCACAAGTGAGTGTTCTCTTACAGAACGTTGAGTCGTAAAGCCGCCGCCCAAGAAGATGCCATCGAAGGTGTCGTGCTGCTTTATATAATAAATATTTACCAGAGCATGAAGAATCTTGGCAATTTCTATGAATGAAGTCGATTGTGGAAATGATCGAGAAAAAAAGAGCGGCACCGTCAAGGACCTAACAAATGCCACTCAAAGCTCAAAGACCCCAACAGCAAAGATATGATCGTAGTGCCAAGATCAATCCTGCTGTGTCCGTGGTGCTGCACCAGTTTAGTGCGGGTAGATAGAGAAATCCGATTGTTCAGAAATCAAAATCCGCTCTCGTAAGTGAGATCCTGTCCTCATCGGAAACCAGCCAATACTACGGATTGAAAGGTAAGAACCTCATGGAACAGTAGTAACAGCAAAAATGTTGGATAGGGTCAGCAAAGATCCGCCATGTTGCTTGCTTTCTGCAGAAAAAAACACGAACGAGACTCTAAATGAAAAAGAAGGATATGAGACTGATAATCTAGTGATGATCAAATGTTTCAATTTTCAGGCACCAGACGATTTCACCACCAAAAACTAAACAAAAGCATTCCACGACTGAACTCGGTGGACATGACAAAAAAAAAGTGAACTGAAGTGAATAGAGTTGTTCAAGACAATTTTTATTCCGGATACCGCTTCAAAGCATCCAATAAGACAACTGAGAGTTGGTCAACGTCAACAACAACCACTTGTAAAGTTGATAACAAACATTAGGCGAACAGAAAAAGCTGAAAATGTTATTCAATCCAAAATCCTTACTCCTACAACAAGATGATTCTCCTTCGCTCATCTTCCGCGTCGCCGCCTTTGTTAACTTCAACCGCAGAAAACGTTCCAATAGTTAGGGTGTGCGCCATGTGAGGGGCCTTTTTTAATTGGATGAAAAGTAAAATACAGAATACAATGAAATGAAAAAAAGTGAGTTGCAAGAGGGGGTAAAAATGAACACAAGGGAATGCTCCGCCTAATTAAAAGGTCAATGCGACGGCAGTCTCGGTCATGGGAGGAGAGAGAGGCGGTGAGAATGCGCGGGATGAAGTAGCGGCCGCTGCAGCTGCAGCTGCGCCCGAGACAACCACCGACGCGTACGAGAATGGAAGTGAAGCTGCAGCTACAGCCGCCGCTGCTGCTGAGGAAGAGGTTGATGAAGATGCCGAAGATGTCGAGTAATTCGATATAGCAGATGATGAACTTGTTGAAGAATTGCTGGACGAGAGGGATGGAAACAGGGGTGACAGTGGCACTGCAAAATTCGGCTCCTTGTTGCTTGACGCGGCCGAGAGCTGCAGTTTGACGCCCGACTTTGACGGCAACCTGAATGAATACAAGGTGTGATCATCCAGCAATGACTCCTTGGTTGTTGAGGGGCAAGGAGGTTCGGGGATGTTTGCCTGGCAGAACGAGGTCAATGAGCTGACATTGCTGGCCAGTGCTGCTGCCGTTGCTGCTCTTGTCCTGGTATCGTCGCTGTTCCTGACCGAATCGGCATAGCTCAGAGGTGTCATCGATGTTGCGGTCGAGTTGGCGATGGGTGTGGTGGACAGAGGAACGAAAACGGCGTCAGAAGAAGTGCTGGCGGTGCTGTCAGACGAGTCGATATCATCCTCCTGAGAATCCATCTCAAGCTCAGGCTCGCTCTCGTCCGAATCGCTCGAGGAATCCAGGGGCTCGCCGGCTTCGATATCGAGAGGACGGGTGCCGTTGACATGGGGGGCTGCTGAGGGGACAACTCCATCCACTCCATCTGTATCTTCGTCACTTTCGTCGGAACTTGACAATGGATCCAGTCCATTGCTATTGGTACGCGACATGTCATCGTCCCAAGGGTCAATTGACTTTCTTGAACGAGATCCGACCAGGGTCAGGGGCAGTCTGTGGGACCCGACCTTGAGCTCCTCGTCACTGCTGTCATACTCATCCGAGTCATCATCGTCGTCCTCGTCGGCATCATTGTCATCGCTCAAAAGATCCTCGCCCTCAAACAACACGTGGACCTCAGTACCATCCTCGTTCTCCTCGCGCTGCATGACCTCCATCTCGCCATTCTTGGGGTTCTGGTGAAAGACCGTGACAGTTCTGGTCGCCTTCTTCTGCTTGGTCGCCTTCTTCTTTTTGGACTTTTTGGGCTTGGGCAACTCGGCGGGTCCTCCAGAGTACGCACGGACATCACGGTCAGAGTCCTGCTGCAACGCTTCCTGCAGTTCCTGAATAAGGGGCGAGACAGCCTGGTCGCCGAAATACGAGCCATTGATAACCCAGCTCACGACCTTGGCAACAGAGATACGGACGTTGGCCACAGAGTCGACTCCGAGGTGGTCCGCTAAAAGGGACACGAAGTGCTCCTCGAATTCTGGAATCGAAAGACCTTGCTCCACCAGAGACTGGATGATCTGGACAGCAACGACGCGAGACCTGAACCCTCCATTGAGAGCAAAGTCGGTGGTCTGATAAACGATTTGCTCCTTTACAGTAGTAAAGGCTCGCTCTGTGGTTTCCATGTCCATCTGTTCCTGCTCTCCCTCCGATTCCGACTCGGACTCTTGTTCAGCGGTAACCTTTACGACAACCCGAGAGATCTTGTCAAAGTCCTCGGTGACATCCTCCATCTCGACATCATCCTCGTCGCGCTGTTGGAAAAGGAGCTCGGGGGACTGGGACCTTCTCCGGTGCTCATCTGCTTCCTTTTCGTCCAACACGGGAAAGTCGAGTCCGTCAGGCTTGCAATCAGTATCCTTGGGGATAGGAATAGATCCGAAGCGATCGCTGATCTCCCAGAATGCGGTGAACGACCTGACTCCAGATTCGCGAACAACAGCGACGGTGTCCGTGCAGGCCTTGACACACAGAGGCATCACGACCTGCAGAACGTCCTTTCCGTCAACAATTTCGCAGAGACTTGGGAGCTGTGCTGCAAGAGTATCCCTTGTGCGCCATTGACTTGAGCGCTCCAGATCGATCCATGCCCGGTACAAGTGCTGAAGCGATTCCGACCGACATTCGGGTGAAAGGCAGGCTAAAAACTCGATGAAATGTGCCAACACGCCCTCCCTGACTTCGTCCTCGGCCTTCAGACAATCAGCAAAAGCCACGGCCAGATCCTGATCGGCCAGCTCTGGCCCCAGCACCTTGGCAACCTCATGCAATGAACAAGCCAGGGACCGCCTAATTGGGGTTCTAAAAGTTCCAGCTAGCTTCATGTATACTGGCTTCATGATATCCCACTTCGACCGACCTGCAGTCAAAATAACAGCTAATGTCACACAATGAAACGTAGGAGTAATATTAGTATATAGTCCACAATTCCCGCATCTCAAAGATTTAGTCATTGAACATGTGGCGTACCTGGGAAGCTGAAGGCGCACATGACGGCACGCTCATGATCGTTCAGGGGATGCTGACCCATTGCCAAAAAGTGGTTCAGGAGGGACTCGGGCACCTGCTCGTGTTCGAATCCTGCAATGACTTCTCCCAGAACTTCCATGATCGAGCTGCGGACACTGCGACTGACATCGACTGAAAAGATGTCGTAAATCTCTTCCGCCTTGCTGGCCTTCACGTCGACTGGCAATACAGAGAGCAAAGAAGCTAGGATGGTGCAGCAGGCTCGTCGAATGTGCCAAGTGTCGTCCTGAACAAACGCGTCGTAGAGAGGCACCAGTCGTTCTACCGCTACAGCCTGATCCACCACCCTGAACAGTGCTCCCAGTGCCATTACAATTTCCTGTTGGCGAAAATAAGAAGCAGATACTTTTGCTAGTTAGAAAAATGCCGATTGATATCCAGCCGACAACGCATTTCAAAGAGTCCTGCAAAATGTTCACTGACCTTGCGAACGTAGAACTGAGAGTTGCCCATGAACCGCTCGAGAGTAGGAATAATGACGGTGGTACACCGCTCCGGTCCCAATAGTGTCGCCAGCGATGTGAGGAGCTATGTGCAATGCGGATGTGAAAAGGGACCTAGGGGTTAGAAAAAAAATGAACCTTGCAAAGCTGCAAACAAAAGTATCATCCACTGCAGGACCACTTTCTTACCACAACGACGAGCATTTTGCCTAGCTCTGCTTCTCCATCTTGATCGTCTCTGTGCGATGCAAAGGGGTCGCTATCAAGTCCTCCATAGCTGTCGGGGTTATATAGTCGTTCCAGTCCAGTAATAATGCCGTGCAGGATCTCGCTCTCCATGACATTGTCCGGTATGTTCTCGGCCACAGATACAATGGCGAGTCGAGTTTGGTGGGCAATGTCTGCGTTTTGATCCAGTAGCAGGTTCAAGAAGACGGGCGTGAAAATGTCATGTGGGAGAGGTGGAGGAGGGCCGGGCTCCTGGTCGTTCTGTGAAGTGCCGCTTTCGGCGTCGTCGTCCTGCATGTTTTCCGTGTGGAGGCTGTAGTCGGTCGGGGATGCATTAATGGTGTGATCAATAATAGAGTTCTAAACCAATATGAATAAAGAGATAGACCAACAGTGAGCATTAACAAAAAAACTCAAAATGAACAATCACTTGTGCAAAGCTCAATCGTGCATATCTACGAGTTCCCTGGACGACCGATCGGCCCTGTCTGCATTTGTATGGAGCTGCTGTTTTCATACCTGATAGAAATGCAGCACAATCTTGTCCAGCTGGGAAGCCAACGACTCTCTGACGGTATCCATGGGGTCCAGTGAAAAGTTGCGGATGATGGGGATGACCTGGACTATTGCCTGTCGAGTGTTCATCTGGATCAGGAGAGTTGGCAATTCTCTCGCCAAGAACGAGCTAGTGTTGAAGAAGAAGACAAATAACAAAAAGTTGAGAGCCATTTACTCCGTCGTGGGTGAGTTGCGGTTGCACAAACCATGCATTGGCAAAATGGAAGGGAGAAGAAGGCCAGTAGATATTGTCGTACAGCTAATAAAAGTTGTTTGTGTGTGTGGATGCTGTCCTTTGTTGTTTTCCTCTACGCCCCACTCTAAAAACAAGATGGGCTAGGCGGTGTCTATCGCATCGCTTATTGAACGAGCCAATGAATCGACAACAGCGCCGTTGTTGGTTGCATACACACACACACATATATATCCAAAAACAATATTCTTGCGCTGTTCTTTTGGAGGGATGTGAATTATAACCAGCCTCTAGTTATCCTTACCGATGGTACTCGTATTCACTCCGGGCCATCAGCTGTGCCTTTTCGACAGCAGTGAGGTTGGGTTCGGCAAAGAGCTGGGCCATATCCGTGTCCTCGTCAAGCTCCATTCCGCGAGAGACGATAGATCCTAGAACCCAAAAGCCCGAGAAGTAAAAGGATTTAGGAGAGTAAGAAATAAACTCGGTGTGCGCTTTTAGAGTTGTCGGCTTAGTTCCCTTATCGTTCCTGTCACTTGTTCTTGTTGTTCGTTCAGGTCGGGCTGGTGTTTGTTGCTGCTGTTGCTGCTGGTGCTGGTGCTTGATCAATCCGATTGAGAAGCTGCGCTTACCTGAACTCATCTGAGCCAAAAGATCCTCAGTATCGACAGGGTCGAAGGTGTCGTCCTGGTCGGTGGACATAACGAGCTGCGACAACGCCTTGTCCTCCTGTGCGAGCTGCTCTTCCTCTGCAAAATACAAGCCGAGATCTACCGAGCGGAGACATAAAAAAAAGAGCGAGATGTCAATAATAATCGCAGTGCCCATGGCTTTGTACGCCGCTTTGTTTTTTCTTTATGCTTCTTTATCTTCTCTCGTCGATATCGATCGATGGAGAAGTAGGGGATGGTCGTGTGTGTACTTAAGTGAGTGCATAGCATGGCCTTAGCTCACATACACATACCACTTGCATCGACTCCCATTGTCTTTGTTCCTCTCTCTCTCTCTCCCTGTCCCTTTTTTTGTCTTTTTATTTTTTCTTCTCCGCAAGGTTCGTTATTTCTGTCACGCTGTCTTCCATAAGCCAGCATATCCTTTTTTTCATCTCCTTCAAACAGGAACAATAATAACAACATCAAAGACCCCATCGCTGCAACCCACAGACGTCAACGCTTCCTCTCTTCCTTCACGCTAGTCATTCCCTGTTCATGATCATAATAACGACCAACCATTTTTGTAAAAAGAGCACAAGGGAGGACCAAAAAAAATGAGAAATTGAAAGGAGGAGAGCTCGTGGTAAGATGACGAACCCACCCTCGTTTTTGCCATTATTATTATTTTTCTATTCATCAACCTCTTTCACTCTCTCTCTCTCTGTCTCTCTCTGTCTCTCTCCCCCTTTCAGCCTTTGTTACCTTTTGCTCACAAAAATAAACAAATTGTAAACAACAGGCCTAAAAAAAAGTGCCCGAGGTAAAGAAAAGAGATGATATTGCCATTGCTTCTTTGAGCTCTTGCTCTTGCTCTTGCTCGGCCTGGTTCATCCTGCTATTCCTCATTTGTCTTGACAGAGAAACAGAAGGAGGAAAAAAGGGATATTCCCTCTGTCGGTCGTTCGTTGTATGGTTCGAGGAAACTTCATGCACACACCCCTCTCCCTGTCTTCCCCTCTTTCTGTCTCTCCTTGTCCTTCCTCTTCAATTCGACAGGGACAGGTGGTTGGTTCCCTTGTTTCTTCACATACCCGCCATTTTTTTTGTGGTTGTTGTGGTATTTGGTGAAAAGAAAAAAAACGTAAGATGGGAGTTATGAGTAGAAAAAGGTACAAGAAGGGGTAATATGCAATTGAATGAGAAGGACAAGAAAAAAACGGCGTGAAAGGTGAGGTAAGGAAAAGATTATGGTATCGGGCGTGAATAGAGAGGGAGGGTGGAGAAGAGGTGGGGGGCGTAATGAAGGAAGATGGGAATGAGTGGAAAATAAAAAAGAGGGGGTGGATGAGGAGAAGAAGAATAAAAAAAAAGTTGATGAGAGGACAAAGAAAAAAAAAAGAAAGGCGGAAAAGACTGGCTGACTGGGCTCAAGTTTTTATCAGACTTTGAGCCTGTACCTAATGCCACACACCCACACACTCAGACATACCCTTGTGTTTATCAGTCGGCGTGTCTGTGTGTGGTGGTGGTGCTCAGAAGTCAGAAGAGGAGGAGTAGAAAAGTGTAACTGTGGATTGATACCGTACATGCAATGGGCATGGGTGTGCGTCTATTATTTCTGTTGTTCAGAGAGGAAGGGGAGGGGGACAGTGCATCTTTTCTTGGTGTCAATAAACCGACAGTGCAGGACAGGGCGAGAGACAACGACTGGGAGACACACCAAACAGCAACAAATCCCACGTGTCCCTGCTTCTTTTTGCTTTCATTAAATCCGCCTCCATCACCAAAGACACTCTTCCGACATCCTTTGGAGTTCTCCTTGCCCTTTGTTCAATTCAGGTTGTAGTGCTCCACATACAAACATACATATCCATGTGTGAGTATGTGTGTGAGTGTGAGCGCAAAGTGTATGAATGAGCATCAAGATTGGGCGGGAAAAAAAGAAATAAAAAATAAAGTCTGATAAAACAAGGGTTTCCTGCAGGTTCGAACCCAGTGGTGTCAGTCGCAGAAAAATAACTGATCAAAAACACATAGTTCGTTTGTTGTTGTGATCGGGGATTTCATCACCGGCTCAGGAACAAACGGTCTAGTCGATGAACATCTCCATGATTATCAGTTCACACCTTCCTTCTCCTTCTGGGTTTATTACTCCTTGCTATTGTTCACACTCGATCATTCTCATTCGCTTTCCACGCCATGCCATACGAATATGTCTAGCAATCGCATCCTTTGGCGTTCTTTCCTCCTGATTGAGTTCCATGAGAGGTTTAAACCTCGTCATCCTCATAGTCGTCGTCGATCAACGTGTTGATTTCGGAGTCGACAGGCAGGTTATGGTATGACGACTGCGAGCGCTTGGGGCGGTAGCACTTTGCAAACAAAATGATCGCCATATCCTAAGGAACATGGAAGAAAAAAAAAACAAGATTGTTGTTAGCAGACCATTCCAGACCGTCGCAGCTGCCATTAACATGGACAAATGCTCTTCCTAGCATGACATTCCTGAGCTCCTCGGAGATATTTACCTTGATAAAGTCAAAGCCTTCAACCCAGATCTGATAGTTGGGGATCTGCTTCAAGCCGCGGGCATGGTGGACGACGCGGTTATATGCAATGCCTCCCAAGAAATACACCGCCACAACCACTCCGATACTACAAAAACCAGCGAGATACCTTGGTGAGTACAGAAGTATCCAAATGCTCTCATACATATACGTATCAATTGCACCTTTGAGTTCCGTGGATTCTTCCTGATATGTCAACTTACATAGTGCCAAAAACGCCACCGCCGCTGCCGCCGCTGGGACGATCAGCCGAGCAGGCCACAGGTGTACGCCACACAAACCAGTAGCTGCAGTCGTTTGAGCTCGAGATCAAGTAAGGGTTGCCCTGCAGGATCACACAAACAGCACGAGATGAAATTAAAACGAGATGAAGAGATGGACCAAAAAAAAGAGTCAGTTGGTCAGGGCATTTGTGCCACGTAGCAATTGATATGAAATATTTCTTGGCAGCAGCCCATCCTTTTATCTCCCTGTCCTTTTGCTCCTTCGACTTTTGGTACCCGCCATATCCTGAAACTCCATTTTTTGATGTTGTGGTTTCCATAGCTATGTTCAGAATATCCTCGGATAATGTAGAAAAGGTAGATACATACCTGTCCGCTGACAGAAGTATCACAAACGAACTGGATCGTAGTCGACTTTCGGTAGTTGGCAGCATTGGGGCAGTCATCGCCATTTGTGTACTCCAGAATCAAGCTGTCGCCTATTAATAATGATAAAAGAAAAGTACAGAGGGTGAGTTTCACAAGTCCAACTTGATCATCCAAGCAGAGCGAGACAAGGTTCTTCCTACAAGTGACGGACATACCTCTGAAGACAGGTGTCTTGCTCAGCTTTCTAAATACGCACACAGCAGCAAAAACGAATACAGGGACGTTAGAACTGTCACCTCTCATCAACGCAAGAACCGCGAAGACACCTATCTGAACTGATGAGAATCCAACTCACCCTAATGAAGTGCCCTTGTTCCGCTTGCCCCAGGACGCGACGTCCTCAGGATACTTGATATCCAGCTCCTTCTTCTGCACCTTCTGACACACATTCAACTTGAACTCCATCGATTGGTCTTTTCCTGTATCCGGTGTCCAGTCGTCGCTAGAAAAAAAATATATATATAAATCACAAGGCGAGAGAAGAAAGAGAAAGTAGTATGAGTTGTTAGTTTCATGTTTTCCCTTCCTGCTGTTTTTCCGCACATGAGCGGCTCATCATTATTCTTTGCGTATTTTGGTTCATTCTTTGATCCTTTACTCATTATCCTTCTTGGTCAGTGGGCGGAGGTCATAGAACTTGCCCGTCGAAGGGTGGGTCACTGTGCAATCTGGTTCGTCGGCGGCCTGGGTCTGTGTGGCGAGGGCGATGAATGCCATCACGATGGTCAAGGCGAACGCCTGTTTCTTGAACGTCAGCATTTAGCTTTGTTGATGTCACTGGAGATGTTGATGGTGTGTGAGTGTACCGGAGCGGGCGCGCGTTATGTGCAGTGAGGTTTGGCGGTTGGCGATGGGGTTGCTGGGTCTGGGTTGGTGGTTTTTGTGTGGAAAAAAGAAAGAAAAAGTAGTTCCTTGGCTTCTTTCTGTCGGTCGTTAAAAGGAGTTGTGCAGGACATGCGATCGAAAATTTTCCTCTTTTCTCCCAGGGGTTACTTTTTATTCGCTGGCTATGGGCCATCAGTCAAGAGATTTCCACAATTGATGGTTCCACGCTGACACGACGAGTCGCGGCGCACAGCACGCATCAAGAAAAGTGATACTCTGATAAATGATCAGCGATCAGTTGAATCTGTCTGCGCCCCCTGCAATGTTTATCTTTTGCGACAGACATCAATGGTATGGCTCTTAGTATCTCTCGTCTCTTACTTTTGTGACAATTAATTGATCGCTAAATATCGCCATGACCACGCATCCGTACAGATAGAAAGATATCGGGCCTTTTCAAGGCTGCTGACGAAGTACATCGCATGTATATTCCATTGAGCTATGACCACTTTATTACCTTACCTTGCAGAAGGAAGGATATGTCAGCATCTCGCGCAGTGAAAAAAACGGCTACAGCGATTGATCCAACAGGAACGGTGGGAACTAACACCCACAGCAACTTCAAACCTCACACGCCTCATCCTATACACACCCCTGGACCACTACAGCACCTTCAAGAGCGACACATGCCCTCTCATACAACGCAATCAAAAAATAATCAAAATCAGCGCACAGGCCTCAATTGACCGCACATCAAAATCCTCCGAACCACTTTATCAATTGGTCTTTGATTAATTACAAAATGGGTCATATCGAAAGAACGGAAAAAATATGACAAGTTTATGTGGTGGTGCTAGATAGAAAGAATTGTACAGAAAGAGAGAAGAAAGTGCAAGGAGAAATGAAACGAAGGAGAAGAACGGTCTATGTGCGTGTGTAAAGAAACTGTTTTGTTACAAGAGTGATTATAATGGTCCTTTGGACCATAATGATGATAGAAGAAGGAAAAAAAATTCGCAGTAAGACGAACAAGACAATGATGGATATCGCCAACCACTCGACGTGAAAAATCCAATTCGAGTGAAGAGCGCAATGAGATGGAACGAGAACGGAGAGTGAGGTCGAAGGGAGAAGGGAGGGTAGGAGAATGAGAGATGAAAAAGTAATGGGCGTACCCCACCCTCCCTCCTTATCCTCTACACTCTCGTGTACTCCGCCTTACAAGTCCATAGCCTCAAACTCATGTTGTGCACGGATAGCTTGGACCCATTGGGCAATCGAGTCGCGACCCAGTCCTGTCCGGCCTCCATCCTCGGTGTCATTCACCAGAAGCACAATCTGATCGCCATCCTTGAGTGCAAACATGTACAGCGCCTCTTGGTCTCCGTCGATCGCCTCGTACCCGGAGTCGCCCGTTTTCCGGTACAGTGTCAACTCAGGCCATGTGTCTTGAGACCCTTCCGCTGTATTTGGGTACAGTTGTGTGTATAGCGTCTTCTTGAACCTGCACACTGTCTCCAACTATAGCCATGAAAAGGTGTAAAATGCAATTAGTCTACATACTCAACCACCTCAATGTGCAAAATAAAGAGAAGGGTGGGGTGGGGCAATTGATTGAAAATGCAGGTTAGTGGGACACTCACGTTGTCGACGAAAACGTCTTCGTTTGTCTTGTCAGCTCCGATCACTGGCTTCCAGGATTGCGTGTGGAATGGTGTCGATGGATCGCCCAGCATGTATTCGACAGAGACTTTGGCGCAATAGTTGACGTTGGGTCGTATGCTACTCATGGCAAAAATGTGGAGAAATGAGTGCGAGAACAACGAAAGGTAACACAAAACCAAAAGATCAGCCAATTAATATACGCATCCTGGTCAAAAGGAGAGAAGGCACATACCTGGTCAAGTCTCTTGTGCCAGCGCAACGTCGAAGACCGCTTGTGAGGGGACGTTGTAGGGAGGAGGCAAAGCTCGAATCGTCAACCTTCTCTGAGGATGAATCCGAATGCAGCTTCGAATCGACTCGGACGTGTGTGGTTTGGAAAAAGGAGTCGGCTGCATGTTGTTCGGTCAAGGCCATGGTGCGATTATTTGTTGTGTTGTTGATGTTTTTAGTTGTTGATTTGGTGGGAAATCGGAAATAAGGGGTTGTAAGAGAGATGGTACTCGGTTGTGTTAGAAGATTTGCTTGAGGGAGCGATTCCAGTAGGAGTGACCAGGCTTGGAGGTTGGGGTGAGAAGAAGGTAAAGGGGAGAGAGAAAGCGGGAGAAAGGTGAATAGAAGTAAACAAAGAAAAAGGTCTGGGGATGTAACGAACGAGGAGGAAGAGAAGAGAGTGACAAAAAGACAGAGGAGAGATGTAGATGAGAATTGGAACAAGAGTCGAGGCGGCCGGAGAGAAGAGATCTGGGGGGTGGGATTGGACGAGCGCAAATGCGTAAAATGTGTTTGTTTGGGGAGGAAAAACGATGGTGAGCGAAAAGAAATAATACACAATTGAAAGAACAAAGAGTTGGAGAGCTGTGGAGAAGGAAGAATATAATTTAAAGAATTGCTTGTTGCCTGTGAGTGAAGAAAAAAGACGAAAGCGATTGAAGGAGTATTTATAAGAAAACAGTCAAGACGACGGTTGCCGGATTGAACGAAACGGTTGGAAAGGAGAGAAAAGGATGAAAATGAATAGTGAAAAAAAAACTAAGAGAAGGAGGCCAGAGAGAAGAGAAGAGAAGGGATGGAGAGAGAGTGAGAAAGAGAAGACAGATACGGTGTGTGTGTGTGCGTGTGTGTGTGCGTGAAGGACGAGTGAGTGTGAAAAAAAAGATGAACAGAGTTGAGACTAAGCAAGGAAGATGAATGAAAGGGAGTGAATGTTGTATATGTGTCCGAGAGCAGGAAGAATCAGGAGCAGGTGAAGCTTAGAAAAGCGAAAGAGGGAGAAAAGGGAGGATCGCGGTTCCCCTTTTGTACTCTGCTTTTGCTTCTGCCGCCAAAACACTAAAACACGACACAAGAAAATCATCGACTGAATTAGACTCACTAAGGAATAAAAAAGCGGTGTTCATGGTGTGGATGACCCATGGTGTGTGCACAAGTGTAAATGTCAAACAAAAGGCTTCTTTCTTCTCATTTTCTTTCTTTACAAGGAGTGAAAGTTGTTTTGTCAACAAAGAAAGGAGACGGCAAGGGAAAGAAAAGAAAAGACGGATTCAAATGCACGGCACAATAGCCAGGAGACGACATTTTTCCCTCCACACAACTCCAAGTCGTAAAACACGTACGCACGCACACACAGACACACCCGTTTTGAAATAAAAGGGAGATGAGCATAAGCGAACGAGGGGGTTCGGTCGGTCATTTTTTCCTTCACCAACATGCATGCGTCAAAACAATCATCAAACAAAGAACTCATTGATGTTGATTATAGGGATCAGTATCGAGAACTCTCTTCCTCTCGCTCACTTGTATCTCTTTCATATGCTTCCACTGTGTACGATTTCGTGCGCTCAATTCACTTCATTGTACGCTCTTGTTCTTCAATCATGGGAGCGCGATTGTTCGTCATTTCCATTTATCCGCAAGGAGCTTCGGCCATGCTCATCCCCACCGTACTTAAGGCTCAATGAATAACTGGGGTCACCATCGTGGCCATCATGTCATCATCGCTCATTATTATCATCGCCATCGACATCATTTTGGCGCGACCCATTGGCTTCATTTCGTAGAGTATCAGATGCGTCGCGCCTCAAATGAAAGTGTATCTTCAACGCTGTGTCTTCATGTGCCTGCTCCTGAAAACCCGAAATGCCCTTTCGCTCCTCTTGTTATTAATATCACTAGTTCATATCACTCGCCGGGTCCCCGCACCTTGTGTCTCCGCATCTTGTGCTCCCGAGGTCCCGGTTAGCCTCCCTTTTTTTCTGAACAGACACAACAACAACCTTGAACCGAATGAACAATAAACAAGGGGAAGGAGAAGGAGGAAGATGAAGGACTTATTGGCTTCAGTTCCTAAAAGAATGGAGCAGATGGAGAGAAAATGAGAGTATGAAAATCAAAGAGGAGTGACAAGGGAGGGGTCACCATCGATCAGCAGAGGAAAAAAAAGTTAAGGGATGAATGGGGGCCATGTTTGTGCGGGACCGAGAGTAAGAGCACGGAAGGGGATTCACGAGAGACACTCTTGGGCGTATTTTTTTACTCCACAACATCCGCACTCCTTCCACGGTCAGAAGAGGGCCCAAACGGCATAATGAATAGGGGGGTGTATGGCCACATACAGAGAGGTAGATGGAAATGCACGCCAGAGGCCTCTATTCTGTCTTTGTCTCTCTGACTCTGCCTCCTCAACGTCCCATCTTTTCTGTCGAGCCCCCTCTTTGAGTCTCTTATCTTGACGACATCCTTGAGTGGTCTCTCAACGGAAAATTAGAACAAAAAAAAGGAGAACAACACACGCACACAAAAGCAGTAACTTGGAGAAGATGAGGACTCGCTAGGGGATGGGCAAAAGGGTCGTGAGGCATAGAGGAAGGGGAGAGGGGGGAACACTCTCAGAAAACAAGGATCAGCGCACCATGTCAGGGCATGGACCACCCCCGATTTCATTGGAGCAAAGGGAGAGATTTAAACTTACGATTTTGAGCCATGATAGTCATCTTCCTGTCGCGGTTTATATTTTCAGGGGACAGCATCCTTGTACGTTGTTTGTGAGAAAGAAAAAAGAAAAAAGAATAGCTCAGACTGATGAAAGAGAAAGAGGGAGAGAAGAGTGTCTATTTCAAGCTTGCAATAATCAAAGAAAACAAGCAAAAGAAAGTGGACCGAGAGGGAGGAAGGATGGGATGGATGGGAATATGGAACATGGCTTGGCTGTGGAGATGGTTCGAGACAACAAGGACAGACGATTATTCATCGCCTTACGACAGGACCATTATCCGTTGGAACTGAACTACAGGTACAACACACTGTCACGCAGACAGACACAAAGAAAAAAAAAAGCTCAGTTGGGTCCAGGAGATCTCAAACGCTGGTCTGAACCGGAACCTCAGTCTGAAGAACAAGAGCTGTGCTTTGAAATCCACCCTTCCCTCCGCTTCTTCACTCACAGACAGCAAAATAAAGGAGATGAAAGCTATGCTGCTGACATGAGCGTATGTTGGAGCAAGGCCAAACGGATCATGTAGGGATGCGCAAACTAGAGCGATGTGAATAAGGATCAAGTGGGCCAGACGAACCCTCGAAAAAATGTTAACTACTATAGCAGATGACCTTAAGTGTTCAGTTCTATTCTGGTATGAAAAATGGCAGATGGCACTCTAACGGCACCATTTTATTTGTGGAGACTGTTAACCGTTGGGCGCCTCTTTGTCTGTTTCTCGTCCACTCAGGGACATCTTTTCATCCTGGCATCCCTTTCGGACCAGTGTTCATTCTTCCCATTCTCCTCTTCTCTACAGTACGTTTTTTCGATTAATCATATGGTCCATAAAAAACGTTGTCACAGCAAGCGCGCCATCTGGGTCCATCTGACGTGGAAAAGAAAAGGTGGGCACCCCTAGCGTGTGTCCATTTGTCTGTGGTCATTTTATTGTTCTACTGTTCATTAACAGTCTTTTTTCCAGTTCACTTGCTCTAACATGATCCCATTGCGTCGCTGTCTTAAATAGACAGGGACACTTTTTTTTCATCTTTTGATCCGCTCTCTATCTCTTTACAACATACCAACCAAACATAAGAACGACCCCTCCACTCACTACCACTCCCTGCATAGTAATTTGACCCGCTGTTCATTGCCACCGATGCCAATCAACGACGCCAATGACCCGGCGTCACATTGCCTCGGTCTAAACCAGCCCTTCCATGCCTCATTTGAATACGGCCAGGGTTCCCGAGCCTATACCAACTCTGTCAGCTTGTCAACCATCAGTCTAACCCCACCTACCGAGACCCTCAACTTTGAGGGCGCCTTCGAGAACCTATTCAAGCTGGCCAAATTTGATCCAACTGCTCTGGCGCTCTGCAAGGACATTGACTTGCCAATGGTACCCCCTTTCCATGCGGGTCTGTTGTCGTATCTCTTGCGTCTGGAAGCACTTGGACGATTGGACGATTGGCCTTGCTTGTTTGGGCAGGGGAACTCGTTTGTGCTACACTTGATTGACAAGATGCAGGGACGGGTCGTGTTCCCCGAGGATAGCGAGAACGAGAAGGTGATCTGGGACAAGCGGCGGAATGAAACCAGTGCCTGGCTCAAGACTAAGATGAGGCGGCCCCAGCGCGACTAATGTAGAGATTTAGACGAACCAGACAGATCAGGATAAAGTGAAAAATCCGACTTAACGCGAACGCGCTCTGTCTAATCACTGATTCGAAAAATGGCTGGGACACCGACTCGCCCGTTCTTGGCTGTTGTATTTTTTACACCACCCAATCAGCTCGCTCCGCACGTGTCGCACACATTCATTTCCCTTTCCTTGATGTTTTTCCTTGATATTTTTTTTCCTTCATGTTTTTTCCCTTCATGTTTTTTTCCTCCATGCAACCGAAAAAAAGAATAAAAATGGATGTTGTTTCTCACTAGAGCAATCACTACAACTTCTGGTACCATACCGTTTCACTGTGAAGAAACTCTTTTGCCTACTTTTCTCCTCACCGTTCCCTGTGCCTCAGGCCCAATGACAAGTAACTGCATTGCTATCCTGCAAAGCTTCAAGGCGCGAGTAGGTATACCTCTTTGTTATCTTTTGATGATTGTAATGGAGCAATTGACTATGCGGGACAATGTGCACGAGAAAAGAAAGACAACAATTGTACAGATCACATGCGACACCATCGACATGATGGCATGGTATGGGTTTCTTTTCCGGCGGTATGCGAGGACCCGTACTAGCAATGCTGCCTTTATTTCTTAAATAAAGTTGTGCTGTATATAGGGAAGAATGCAATGGCGCCAGAACTTCGCCAATCATACCCACATTGGTTGTACTAAAGCAATTTGAAAACTGTGAACATGCGGTATATATTTCTTTGAAATATATATAGGCGAACATGGGGAACGTTCATCGTCCTCACTCCCACCACAACACAATGTAACACACAAGAACTCCGCTTGTCGACGATAATAGCCAGTCCAGGGGGAGGCACGGGATGATAGACAGACTCTACTTGCCCAAAGCCTGCCCCGCGAATGTGGAGGATCCTAAGTTGGCTGTGGGTCCAATCAGTCTCAAATAGCGCATTTTGCACGACCCGTCCAGGATAGTGGTTGTGATAGCGAGGTTCTTGAAGGTGAGAGCACTGGACGACCATGATCAGGTGTGTCAAAATGTTCGACCTGTTGAGAATGATTCCCTCAAAGATCCCGTTCCAATTAACAGGCGCAACGTGGAGGTTGGTGGCGGTGTCGGGCATTCGATCCAAGAACAACATCATTCAGTTAGGCGTAGTCGAAGAGATCTTGACCGTCCTCAAGTTGTCGGTGTGCTCTGTCAACAGTTCTGCCACCAGTGTTCCATTGTTGCCCTGCGTTCGTGAGATATCGATCGACTGCAGAATCGTCATGATTGGAAGAAAATGCTGAAAGAACCAGTCAAGAGCCACGAGGTCACGGTAAGAACCTTGACCAGCCATGATCCGTCGAACGTATCCAGGATCCGCTCTAAAAGTAATTCCCGTAGTTCCTGGTGCGCCAATAGCCCCTACTCGAATATGCATCGAGCGCGAATGTTGACGGTCCACGAAAATCTCCTGTTCGCCAAAACGTTGACCCAGTCCGTAACAGGCATCCGAATGAGCTCAAGTCCCAGTTCCACCAATCTAGTCGACGCAATCAACAATCCGCGTGTATGAGGGCCGATCCCCGAACGCGCTCCAGAGATCGCGAGAGACTGTAAGGTGTCAGGACAGTTATGGAGAAGGACCCCCAGGGGATACGAGCAGTTGGATATAGGAAGCGATCGGATTCTTGAGTCGTCGAAGGCGAGATTCAGAACCGAAAGGAGCTGGTTGCTATCGGCATGGTCGTAGGGGTTGTTGAGAAATGAAAGACATCCGATACTAGGCGCCATTCTCTCCAATGTCGATAAAGGCACAACCCAGCGAGTATTGCCCATGGAGGCGAAGTCAATTGTTGTCTAGAGAATCGGGGTCTACACGGATCTCCACATCCGTGCTACGGAAGCAGCCCGCAGCAAGTTGGAAGAAATCCAGACTGGTTCCGTGCAGCGCTTGTCGGGATTCCACCACAGCCTAGAGGTGGCTGGGTAAAGACTAGGTTGACAGCGATTGTCTGGAAAGAAGCAAACTCCGTAGACGTGGGCTCAGCAGGGGGGTCAGGATAGGCAGGGTCGGCTGAGGCTGTCGCAAGAGGTTGGTGGCAAAGACATGGCGAGCAGGGACGCGGGCGATGCGAGTGATGCAAAGTGAAGTGAGAAGGAAGAGAAAAGAATTAGGTAGGGCGATGAGGGGGCAGAGAGACAGAGTGTGAGAGAAAAAAACAAAGCGAAAGCGATCAGCATGAATTGCCGCAAGGGAATGATATCACAATCTCACAAGGCAGTAGACGGATTAGTGACTTCCATTTTTAGGCAACAAAATAAGAACTACATTTGACTGACCCATGGCAGAGCCCATTACCCGCTCTCCTTGATATCAATGTTGCTGTTTGCTGCGTTGAGATCGCACCATCTTGGTCATGAGCTAGGCACTGGTTTCATTCCGCCGCTTGTCCCAGATCACCTTCTCGTTCTCGCTATCCTCGGGGAACACGACCCGTCCCTGCATCTTGTCAATCAAGTGTAGCACAAACGAGTTCCCCTGCCCAAACAAGCAAGGCCAATCGTCCAATCGTCCAAGTGCTTCCAGACGCAAGAGATACGACAACAGACCCGCATGGAAAGGGGGTACCATTGGCAAGTCAATGTCCTTGCAGAGCGCCAGAGCAGTTGGATCAAATTTGGCCAGCTTGAATAGGTTCTCGAAGGCGCCCTCAAAGTTGAGGGTCTCGGTAGGTGGGGTTAGACTGATGGTTGACAAGCTGACAGAGTTGGTATAGGCTCGGGAACCCTGGCCGTATTCAAATGAGGCATGGAAGGGCTGGTTTAGACCGAGGCAATGTGACGCCGGGTCATTGGCGTCGTTGATTGGTATCGGCGGCAAGGAACAGCGGGTCAAATTAATATGTAAGGAAGTGGCTGTGAGAGTATGGGTAGCTCTAGTTTTTGGTTTCCTAGCATCGAGCATAATTAAGTTGGAGAGCACGCAAGGACTGAGGGTATCAGCCTTTAAAAGAAGATTGGGAGTGGATCCGCAGCGATCCTTGAGTGGGTCTTTGTGTCTTAAAACTGGTTGTACCAGAGCTGGCCTGGCACACTTAGTTCGTTCCTCTTAGCTCTGCGATCTGCTTGGTTGTTCTGCAGAAGAAGCTAATCGAAGGGAGGGCTTCGCTTTGAAACAGAGGCGTGGCTGTGTGCACGTGATCAGTGGCATTCCCTGCCAAATAAAAGACTCCCTCTACCCCTTTGCTTCTTTTGTTCTCCATTCATCACTTTCACGACACAACCGCCACACACACACACACCCTCGTTTTTTTCTTTTTCTTTTTGTTCCCGTATATATCCTATCTCATTTTACTCACACCCCACTTTACATTCTCAACATGGACATCGAAAAGGAGAACGTCATTGACGAGGGCCTCTACTCGCGTCAGTTGTAAGTCTGCTTTTCCATAGAACCCTCTGGAACATTATGTACAATTCTCACACCTGCCAAGCCAAACTCGACACATACTGCGGACACTCGCCACGACCGCCGCCACCACCACCCCATCACCACCTGCGCCCCCACTCACTCCCGACTCGGGTCCCCGTGTGCCTCATATCCCTCAAAAGGTGTCTCTTACTTCTATGAACTCACCCTACCGTTTTCTTTATTGCCTGTTAGGTATGTCCTTGGACATGAGGCCATGAAGAAGATGAGTACTTCCAACATTCTGATCATTGGACTCAAGGGCTTGGGTATCGAAATTGGTAAGCACGCCAATAACATAGTACACAAGCTAGCAAACAAACGCGCAAAGCGGGCACTGCTGTCTTCGGTGGACTCGAGAAGGATCCTTCGAAACAAAGACGAAAGGCGATATCATGACGCGTGATTGTTAATCGTTGTTTTTCTGTTCTTTTTGTTCCATATCCTTTCCCTATATCATTGCGCCTTTCTGTTTGACGCGCAGCCAAGAACATCGTTCTTGCCGGTGTCAAGAGTGTGACCCTCTATGACCCCGCTCCCGTCGAGCTCACAGACTTATCCACCCAGGTAATGAATGCATCCATCCATCCCATTTTTATTTTTTCTCACGGATACAAATGGACCTTCTATGTCGATATCGATGATGCCATGTACTTGTTGCTGTTACTGCGATTATTAGTTATCAAGTAATAAGCAGACCAACAACCCCTTGGCCACTTCCTTCTCACCCTGAATGACTCAATTTGTTGACCTTGGCGTCCCCTTCTAACCTTTCCTTCTGTTTTGTTTGTTTGTTTGATTTTGCTCTTTTGGGTTGTGTCGTTTTTAGTTCTTCTTGACCACGGGTGATATTGGCAAGCCCCGCGATGTTGTTTCCAGACCTCGTTTGGCCGAGTTGAACGCATATGTCCCCATCCGCGTCTTGGAAGGAGAGTTGACAACCGACAAGTTGTCTCAGTTCAAGGTACGAACAACATCGTCAACACATGAAAATCAACCTGAGACCCCCACGCCGACACGCTTTGATTCGGCTTGCATGAGTGTAGGTATTTCGCGATACATTGTGGAAATCTGACCCCTGAATCTGTTTGTGCGAATCACTCGTCACTCGCCACATGTAGGTTATCGTCATGACCGAGTCCTCATTAGAAAAGCAGCTGGAGATCAACGAGTTCGCACACGCTCACAACATCCACTTCATCTCTGCGGAGGTTCACGGTCTCTTCGCTTCCGCCTTCAACGACTTTGGCAAGGGATTCGCCGTGCTTGATGTCACAGGCGAGGAGGCCTTGTCTGGTATGATTGCAGAGATCTCTACAGAGAGTGAAGGTATTGTCACTTGCCTGGACGAGACCCGTCACGGTCTTGAGGATGGCGACCACGTCACCTTTGTCGAGATCAACGGCATGGAGGCTTTGAACGGCTGCGCCCCCAGAAAGATCAAGGTTCTTGGACCATACACCTTCTCGATCGGCGATACCTCTGACCTCGGCAACTATGTTCGCGGCGGTCTCTTCCAGCAGGTCAAGATGCCCAAGCTGGTCGACTTTGTAAGTAATCGCTTCAAATGTTCCATAATCACATTATTTTCGTTTAATTCGCAACTCTAGAATTTAACCTTAACCCTGCACTTGCCGACGCTAAATCAAATAGTTGAGCCTCAAGGAGTCGATCCAGAAACCAGAGTTCTTGATCACGGATTTCGGAAAGTTCGACCGCCCTGCACAGCTTCACGTTGGTTTCCAGGCCCTTCATGCATTCAAGGCCAAGCACGGACGTCAGCCCCGCCCCAGAAACTCAGAGGATGCCAAGGAGGTCTTTGCACTTGCCAACGAGATCAACGACAAGGCCGCCGAGAAGGTACATTAGGCGACTATCGTATTTGTTCTCTATTTGCCAAAGGCGCTTTCACTCCGATGACCTCAGCTAATAACCCCACCTAACTTGCATGAATGTAGGCTGAGTTGGACGAAAAGTTGATTCTCGAGCTTTCATACCAGGCTGTTGGAGACTTATCGCCTATGATTGCCGTTATCGGAGGAACTGTTGCTCAGGAGGTTCTCAAGGCCTGCACAGGAAAGTTCAGCCCCATTCACCAGTGGATGTACTTTGACTCGCTCGAGTCCCTCCCCACGTCGGTGACCTTGACTGAAGAGTCCTGCCAGCCTATTGGTTCCCGCCACGATCCCCAGATTGCAATCTTTGGCAAGGAGTTCCAGGAGAGAATCGAGAACTTTAGAGAGTTCTTGGTTGGTGCTGGAGCCATTGGTTGCGAGATGCTCAAGAACTGGGCCATGATGGGACTCGGAACAGGACCCAACGGACATATTCACGTCACCGACATGGACACCATCGAAAAGAGTAACTTGAACCGTCAGTTTTTGTTCCGCCCCACTGATGTTGGCAAGTTGAAGTCCCACTCGGCTGCTATGGCCATTGCCAAGATGAACCCTGCCACCATTGGCCATGTCCACGCCTACGAGGAGCGTGTCGGTGTCGACAGTGAGAACGTCTACGGTGACGAGTTCTTCGCCAACTTGGACGGAGTCACCAACGCCCTGGACAACCTGGATGCCCGCAAGTACATGGACAGACGCTGCGTTTACTTCCGCAAGTCCTTGTTGGAGTCTGGAACCCTCGGTACTAAGGGTAACGTCCAGGTCGTTGTTCCCTTCGTGACCGAGTCTTACTCTTCTTCCCAGGATCCCCCAGAGACCTCGATCCCTCTCTGCACCCTCAAGAACTTCCCCAACGCTATCGAGCACACCATCCAATGGGCCCGTGATGCCTTTGAGGGATTCTTCAAGCAGCCTGCCGAGAACGCCAACTTGTACTTGAGCCAGCCCAACTACATCGAGGGCTTGTTGAAGGACCGTGGCAACAGCACCGAGACCTTGAAGAACATTGAGAAGTTCTTGGTCTCGAACAAGCCGTTGACCTTTGAGGAGTGCATCACCTGGGCCCGTCTTCAATTCGAGGAGCAGTTCAACAACAACATCCAGCAGCTCCTGTTCAACTTCCCCAAGGACTCTGTCACCTCCACAGGAACCCTCTTCTGGAGCGCCCCTAAGCGTCCCCCAACCCCTCTCGAGTTCAACATTGACGACCCCTCGCACTTGGAGTTCATCATTGCTGGTGCCAACCTCCACGCCTTCAACTATGGCTTGAAGGGCGAGACCAACCCTGAGATCTTCCGCCAGACTCTTGCTCACACCATTGTCCCCGAGTTCAAGCCCAAGTCTGGTGTCAGGATCCAGGTGACCGAGAGCGAGAGCATGCCCACTGAGGAGAGCGACCAGGCTGACCTTCAAAAGTTGATCGACACCTTGCCCGCACCCTCAACCTTGGCTGGATACCGCCTCCACCCTGTTGAGTTCGAGAAGGATGACGATACCAACTTCCACATCGACTTTATCACAGCCACGTCGAACTTGCGTGCATCCAACTATGGCATCACCCCTGCCGATAAGCACCGCACCAAGTTCATTGCCGGTCGTATTATTCCCGCCATTGCTACTACTACCGCCATGGTCACTGGATTGGTCTGCCTGGAGTTGTACAAGATCATCGACGGACGCAGCAAGATTGACGATTTCAAGAACGGATTCGTCAACCTTGCGCTGCCCTTCTTTGGATTCTCGGAGCCCATTGCCGCACCCAAGTTCAAGTATCACGAGACTGAGTTTACGCTGTGGGACCGCTTTGAGATCAACGAAGACGTGACGCTTCAGGAGTTCTTGGACTACTTCAAGGAGAAGCATGAGCTCGACATTGCGATGGTCTCTGCGGGAGTGAGCATGTTGTACACGTCGTTTATGCAGAAGGACAAGAAGAAGGAGCGTCTGCCTATGAAGTTCTCGAAGTTGGTCGAGACTGTGTCGAGGAAGCCTATCCCTGCCCACGTCAAGTCGTTCACTGTCGAGGTTGTGTGCTATGACCGCGACGGCGAGGATGTCGAGGTCCCCTATGTTGTTGTCAACTTTCGCTAAAGAACACCAGGATGCCTCATGAGGATTTGTTGCACCCTCAATTGAAATAAACACGAAATCAATACACAAAAGCAAGCTTTGGTTCTTTGTTTGGAGTGGCGTGGTGGGTGGGTGGAGGAAGGAGATGCGTATATCGTCGAATAAAATTAGTCAAGGTGTAGATGGCGTCGATATAACCGGGTGCTTATCGCGATGATGACTGCGCTTGGAAGGGGGAGGGGTGCGTCGCTCCCTTTTGACACTGTCGAAACGCGTGTCCTGGAGGATACTGGCGATTTAGGGGAGTCCAGGTGGAGTGGAGGAACCATGCAGTTCAAAAAGTGCCTGAATACACGCTGATAAGGTATAAATAGGCCATTCCTGTGAATTTTTTGTTTCTTTGTTCCTTTCATCGCTACCACCACCTTCGTCACTCTTCCTGCATCGCCCTTCCACTTCCATTAACATACTCACACAAAACTCGTCTTCAACTCTCCAAAGCTCATTGCAATGCACTTCAGCCACATTCCCCTCGCGGTCATGACAGACTCGTACAAGATCACTCATCCTTCCATTTACCCAGCGGCTCAACGCATGGTCGCCTACGGAGAGATGCGTCAGGCCTATGACAAGGACCCTAACGACAACCGTATGGTCGCCTATGGTATCCGATACATGTACGTTAGTCTGGGCTACTATGATATCCCTATCATCCACAAGGACTTTTGTTTTCTTCGACTTTTGTCGTATGTGCGCGTTATTACTTGTATTCTTTTGTGTTATTTCGTGTTCCCTTATTCATATTATGACATGACATGATACTGCGGAAATAGAATTGAGAACTATGTGGTCAAGAAGTGGACCCTGGAAGATGTTGAGCAAGCCAAGGTGTTCTTCAAGACTCACAATGCTGGCTTCACACCCTTCCCCTTCCCTGAGGACCTCTTCATGAAGGTAAGCGTGAGAAAGCAATGAGTGAAGAGAAAGCGGCAGTTGACGATTGATTGTTTCTCGTGCTTCCGTCATTCCATCCTTGCATAATCTGTCCCTTGCTCTCTCCCCCTCTCCTTTCTCTCTCTTTTTGAGCCGAAGGGTACGCACAAGGAATGCACACGTTGAGAGACTGACATGATTGATGGGATCTTTTACTGATGCTGTCTCTTGCTGTCGACTTTTTAGATCGTCAATGAACACGATGGGTACTTTCCCTTGAAGATCGAGGCCCTTCCTGAGGGAACCGCCATCCATGCACATGTCCCCGTCTATCAGATCACCGCCGATGGCGAGATGAGTCGTCTGGTCACCTACCTGGAGACACTCCTGACCATGATCTGGGTAAGTTCTTTTGTTCAAACTATAACAGTCTAGAGGATGATTCAACCGTTGTTTGAGGTCGATAACCCGTCCTTTTCCCGCCTTCCCTGGTGACTCTGAGCGCACGAACACAACACGTCGACATCTGTCCACACGCCAAACGTATTTTAACATTTTTGCTGCTCGAGCGCATCAATTGCATAACAACGCTATCTCCTTTCCTAAATCGTCCTGCCCTTTCCCTACTCTCATGTGAACAGTACCCAATGACCGTCGCTACGCTGTCGAGACGCGCTCGCGACTTGATTCAGGAAGCCTACAACAAGAGTGTTGATGCTGACGGTTTCTGGTCCCTCGAGAGCCGTCTCCACGACTTCGGTTTCCGTGGATGCACCAGTGTCGAGCAGTCTGTCATCGGAGGCACTGCTCACTTGGTAAGAATCACATCCATGCATCATGCGGTGTTGTTGGTGGCAAAATGGAAGATTTCCATATTGACATGAACCTTCTTTTTTTCAATCTCCTGTTGCATGCAGCTCAACTTTACAGGATCAGACACCATGAGCGCTTCCTTCTATGCGCAGTTCCATCTCAATGGCGGCGAGGCTGTTGGAAACTCTATCCCTGCCAGCGAGCATTCTGTCATGACCGCCTTCCGTACTGAGAAAGAAGCTATGGAGGCCATGATTGCCGAATTTGGCCAGGGCGTCTTTGCCTGCGTCATGGACTCATACGACTATCAAAAGGCCCTTGACACTGTTCTTCCTGAGGTCGCCAGCTTCAAGCTCGAGAAGGGAGGGTTCCTTGTCCTCCGCCCCGACAGCGGTGATATTGTCGAGTCCGTCCTTGCGGGTCTCCGGTAAGTCTGCTTGAATCTACGGAGTGTAATGTGATTAGGCTGCAAGGTCATCGAGACGTCAAGTTAACCTGTCCTATTGTGTTCATTAGTGCTGCCGAGAAGGTCTTCGGGGCTGATGTGAACAAGAAAGGATTCAAGATCATTCGCGGATGCGGCGTTATTCAAGGAGATGGAGTCAGCTACAAGTCGTTGGGTCAGATCCTTAATGCTGTCATTGCTGCCGGTTACTCTGCCCAGAATTGCGCATTTGGCATGGGCGGTGGTCTTTTGCAGAAGCTGAACAGAGATACCATGTCCTTTGCGACAAAGCTCAGTCACATCGTCTATCTCGATGGCACCAAGAGGTATACCAGTTGTTGATGCTGTTTGCCTTACTTGTGAGGTTGTTAGCTCAAAGTCACTGCAGTAGCTAACCGGCGTGTTGTTTTCGTACAATGTAGGGATGTCATGAAACACCCTAAGACAGATTCGGACAAGATCAGCTTGCCCGGTATCCTGGATGTCATCAGGAACGAACAGGGCGTAAGTGACACCCTTGAACTATCTGAGACGAGCTGAGATGAACACCCGCCCTGAAACTGACCACTATACCCATTTGTTTGCGCCATGGCAATCTCCAGATCCCGATGGTGTACCCTCGTGCTGACAACTACGTCCCTCACAAGGACAACATCCTGCAGGTGGTCTACGATCATGGAAAGGTGCCTCTATCGGCCACAGGATCCACATTGCCCGTCTTTTCGACACCCAACCATACTAACGGCAGTACTGTCAATGAGTCAAAGATCCTGTCGTCTCCTGGGTCGTTGCATGCGTGGCCCAAGTTTGACGAGCTCAAGAAGCGTGTCCAGACTGAATGGGAGGCTTTGCCCAAGGTGTTTGATCCTGTCAGCCAGGAGCTTAGGAGCAAGATTCAATATGTCACCACCGGACCCTTCTAATCTGGATCTGCTTTTTTGTAGTGGTCAGCGAGAGGATTCCCGCAAAATGTCCCTTCTCATTGAAGCGATACTAATTGTATGAAGACTTTGAAGATAAAGAAAATTATACAAACGCATTCATGAACACGTTGGTTATTTGTCTTTCTAATGCAGTGTGTTTATTGTTTGTTTTGGTCTGTCTGGTGTGAAACTTTTACACCATAGAGTCGACGAGGGAATCGCGCATGTCTTCGACAATGGCGGTGGGACCGTTGTCCTGAAGCTTGAAGATGCTCTCGATGACGGAGAGTTCTGTAGACGTGGTGTCGAGACCTGCAAAGGCGCACCAGTCGTTGACCAGGAGACCTGCTCCAATTACATCTGAACCGCGGTTCACCGTTCCTGCGACGACTATATTATTATTATTATTTTTTTTTTTTTGGGGGGGGGAAGGGGAGGGGGAGCAAGAAAAAGGTGGAAGGGTTAGGTAAAGTGTGCACGGAGGATGAATGATAGGGAGAACTTTGCAATCCCCCAACACACAGACACAGACACAGACACAGACACAGACACACACGTGTTATGGGGATGAGGGAGAGAATGAAAAAAGAAGACTTACGTGGTACTTGGAGGAGAGAAGAAAGCTCATCCTGATCCTGGATAGAAGTTCTAGGATGAACCAACCCACCCTGATTACTCAACGCGCAATAAGACCCCACGAGGACATTATCAGCAATCGTCTGCCGGAAAACCTCAACCTTCAACACATCCGCCACAATCTCTTCCGTCTCCCTATCCAGATCCGGATGCACTAATGCCACATAGTCGTTACAGGCGATCACGTTTCCGAGGGCTGACAATCTCTCTTCAACGCGCTGGATCGCAACAGAGTCTGGGAGTGAGTTTCGAAGGTGCTGGAGTTCTTGGTCGGTGGTTGTGGAGGGGACGAGGAGCCCGTGACGGTTCCCGACGCAGAGGCGGCCGATGATTCGGGTGCCTGCGATGGAGGTGTGGATTATTGGGATCACGTCCTTCAGTTCTGTCTCGAATACGCTGTTTGATGGTGAACGAAGGAAGGAGGAGGATGTGGAATTAGTAAAGGGGGATCGAGGGTTTCTGGAGGTGTAACGGTCCTAGTCGTGCTGCGGTGAGGCATAAAGGTGGACGGGGTACCTGTAAAAGTTCTCGGATCCACCGATGGCGACGAGGCAGTAACTGTTTGTGAGCATGGAAAAGACGCCAACCTCATTGTTGTTTTCGAATTGAGCGCCTACAGACAGAGAGAGAGAGAGAGAGAGAGAGAGAGAGAGAAACAAATGCGATCGTTAGAATGACTTGTTATCTTTTTGTCGCCTGGCAGAGGTAGGTCGATCGCCACCATCAACATTTCTCTTGATTCAAACATTTTCGAAAGACCAAGAAATTGAAGAACGCTTCGATGAGATGTGGGATACGTACGGACAGCCATTGTTATAGTCGTATTCTTTGTGTATGAAAGGGAAAAAAAGGGAAGAGGTATAATACAGGCGAGAAGGAGAGAGTGTGTTTGTACAAGTGAAAAGGAATGGATGTGTAAAGAACCCGAAAAAAGTGGTCGGTGCCTGGGTTAAGTAGTTCGCCGATCCCGTCGTGCTGCGACGGGTGGCTTAGCCCGCAGTCGACTCTGCCAGGATGGGTTTTTTTCATAAAGTTTCTGCGGCAGGCCGGTAATTATCTTTTTGTCGTCATTGATTCATTTTTGGGTTCACTTTCAAGCAGTGGAGAAGAGGGGGAAGTCTGAGTTCGGAGAGTCGTGTGGTGGGAACCGTAGTTTTCATGGAGGAGGGGACGGAACAAGGAGGGACGCAAAGCGAGCAATTGAACAAAGTATAGTCATTGGCCACGTACTCTCTCATGTAACTCTTCACATTTTTTAAATTGTTGGAAGAAAAAATCGCATGCATCCTCATATGGAGTCTTTCCACGTTGACCTTCTGCACTGCGCGAATGCGGGATATAAACGGAAGACCGGGCCTTGTTTCTCCATCAGAATGGTTGAGTACCAACAAGGTCCCTCACGAATACAGTCCTTGTCATTGATCAAGCACTTCCATACCCGGGTCCCCGCCTCAGCGTTCGGAGCCTGGCAAGTTCAAGGCTATATTGGAAAAAACGACACAAATGCACCTTTTTATACTTACAGTGGCTTGGCTATCTACCCTCTCCCTCTCCCATCATCTGTATGAAAAAGAGCATGATCCCAGGGCTGCACAAGGTTCATCCGCCTTACCTTGATTCATGCTCATACAAGGGGACTGTCTCGTCACTCCTCCCAGCGTGATGAAGTGTGCATGTGGGGATAGAGCAAACCTTCTCCTGTCTTATCATTTGAGTTCTCCCGATCATAACATAAACAACCTTATCAGAAACAAATTCAGGAACCATCACTTCAACAATCTTCCATCAATTACCAACGTTCCATCATAACCACACCTCTGCGCCCACTATTCATTCATTCAATATTCAATCGACACGCATGTAAACAGGAAGTAATGGTACAATGTTTGATATTATTGTTGTGACTAGACGAGCAAGAAGCGCGAAAAAAGGAAGAGAGAGAGAGAGGAGGGTTGTGTCTTTTTACAAGGGGTGAGAGGGGAAGCTGTTGATTTGACTCTAACAGGCTCTCCCCAGGTTATCTCCCATGGGTCTGCAAGTAAAAGTAAAAGAAAAAAAGAAAGAAAGAATAGACACTGACGACTATAAAAGAAAATGATAAACAAGCAGCAAGAAGCAATGAAATTAAAAAAGAAAAAAATGTGCAGAATGAAAAAAAAAAGAAAAGCAAAAGAAACAAATAAGCAAAGAAAACAGCACTTGCTTTTCTGCCTTGGGGAGCAAGAAAAGAATTCTATCTGGGATAATAATGGTGTATGGATGAATCGGTCGGAAGGCAGCAAGAAACAAAAGGCTGCGTTAAGGAGATGAGCTGTCGTGGTCATGCTGATCGTGGTGGTCAACTGGTCCGGTTGCGTAGGAAGAGTATCCAAAGTCGCCCCAGCCTTGTGTCACAGGTGGCAAGTTGATATGGTGGTGATGTTGTTGGGGAATGTGCGAGTGACTGGACTGTGGCGAGTTGGACGAGAGGCCTCCAAATGTTCCAGGACTGGTGGTCGCAGGTGAGTGGTAGCCCATGGACAGGTTAAAGTCGTGTGCCGCAAAGTGTCCGTTGGTGTTGGGGTTGGGCATCATCATGGCGGGCGATGCTCCGTATTGGCCTCCTGGGGACAGGCTGTGACGCTGCTGCTGGGATGAGCTCGACTGGGGCGATTGTGTTGTGGGTGGGTATGGTGTGAAGGCGTGGCTGGGGTGGCTGCGAGGCAAATACCGCATGGGTGGTGGCGTCGTTGAGGTTTGATCCTGGCTGCCCTGGCTGCTGCTACCACTGCCATTCGAGACGGGGCCATAGGCAAAGTTCTGGGGGAAGGTCGCGTGCTGGGGGCTGTAAGGGTGAGAGTTGTGGTGATGCTGGGATCCTCCTCCGTTGCTGATGTGGGCCATGCCGTGGTATCCTTGTTGTGGGTGCATCGAGTGATGGGTCTGCTGGTGGTGATATGACTTTGCAAAGACGTCGATGGGTGATGAACCGACCAGGTCGGGCTCTGTCTTGGGTCGGATATGGTTTCCAAAGCCCGTCGAAGTAAAGTCGGCTCCATTGGCGTTCATCGTGTGGAAAGGTCCGCTGGGGGTACGAGGGCTGTGGTTGTTGGAGACGGGCGACTGGATATGGTCACCAACTACTCAAGAATAATAATCACAAGCAAATAACCGATCGTTAGACAAACATATTAACATATTGTAAAAAATTAGAAGAGAGCCATTGTCATTCTCACTGCCACCATTGACCGTCTGCCTATACGTCCGCGTCGCTCTCCTTTCTCTCTTTTCGCCTCATGCTCTCTATTATTTTTTTCTGTCTGTCGTTTTTTTTGTGCGACTACTTGCATGTCATCTGTTCAGCTACTCTGCCGGAATAAAGGATCCTCCTCCCCTTTACTTTTTAAACCCCCAACCCAGTATCGAAAGTTAGGTTGGCGTAAAATAATAATCGAAGAAAGAGTCATAGGAGACAAAAATGGGAACAAGGTCTGACATAAAATATAAAAAACCCAACGCCATCGCTTACTCTTCCTCGAGTACCTCCCACTACCCCCCTTCACTTCTCTTTACATCCAAGCTGAAGGCAATGAGGGGATAGGGGGTGCCGTTCAGCCAATTCCAGTCGCCACTTACTCCATACATCTCGCCAAAAGAAACAAGAAAACCGCCCCTTCCCTACTACGTCAATGTCAATGCACACACAGACAGTCTCTCATACACAAACACGCAATTCAACCACCCCCCTTGCCCTTCTTCCTCCTTCACCCCCTAGCATGCACTGTTCGCTGTTGTCACTTACGATCATAAGACTGCTCGACGGTGGGAGGGATCCTGAAGTTTTGCTTCATAAGGAACTCTGGGCTAATCTCGAGGCTGGCCAATTCTGGGACGGAGGAAGGAGTGTGAAGTCTGCCAGCGAGGACATCTTCCTTGGTGTAATACGAGATCAAATGCTGGGAAACGCCGTTGACGACGATCGACATCGTCTTCTTGATCAAGCCGTTTTTCTTGAAGCGGTAAGAGTTGGTGAGGGAACCGACCAGGGCGCGCTCCTTGTTCTTCTCGAGGGCCGACTCGACATCACTCCCTGAGCTGGAGCGAGAGGCACGGTCGATGGGGGAGGTATCCTTCTTGCCGGAGGCGTTGCGCTTGTCGAGCTCGCGGTAGACCAGGAAGTTGCCGAGAATGCGGGAGGGGGACCAGACGAGACCGTCCGTCCACCGCTTAATACCGGACTCGCGCTCATCAAAGACAAAGACAGTGCCTGACTGGACGATACGACGCTCCTTTTCCTGCAGACGGCGGCAGATGCGGGGGAGGAGACCGCGGCGACAGGCCTCGAAGATGAGGAGGGTGTCCTGGGTTGTTTCGATGTAGCCGTGGAACGTTTCGACGATGCTCATTGTGGAGGTGTTGTTGTTGTTATAGGGAGGGAGTAAGGTTGCTGCGTGTGGCTGGAATGGTGTAAGGTAAAGTATGTATAAGAAAAAAGAGGGTCGAAGGTTTGGGAGGGAAGGAGAGTTTTTGCTTTTAGGTTGAGTTTGGTTTTAGAGTGGGGTGTGTGTTTGAGTAGGATGTTGTTGCTGTTGCAAACAGGGTCGGAGGATCCGGTTTATATGCGTCAGCAAGCTGTTGAAGAGGGAAGAGAGAGAAGTGAGAGAGCGGTTAGGGACGGAGGCTCTACTTTTGGCCCATGAGAAGGTAAGGAAAAGGGGAACCGATGGGGACGGAAAAACGGAGTAAATATCCAAGGAAGATATAACTGAAGGGGGGAAGTGATGAAGAAAACGAAAAGTGATGAAGAAAGAAGAAAAAAAAAGAGAACGAGGGTGGTAATGAACAAAGAATAAAAAGAAGAGGTATTTGAAATCAACTTGAGCTGATTGCTGATTGTCCTTTTGTTTGTTTGTGTTGATGATGGAAGAAGGGAGGAAGGGGCGGATGGCTTGTTGTATTTGTACAAGCGAGTGCAATGGATGACTTATATCTGCCTGTCTGCTGCTTCGCTCCTCTTGTACACAAAGAAAGACCCGACCATCCGACGATGACGATTGCTTTTTCTTTCTTTGTCGTTTCTTCCGTTATTTTATCCCCTTCTTGGTCTTCCACCTCCCTCGCCCATTACACTTTGCTTCCTCTTCTCGGGAGAATCGGACGCTGGCTGGTTGGATGTGTCTTCGATGTTCTCTTGCACTCTTTCAAACCCCTTTTGTGTTGTTTTGGTGTACTTTTCCCTTTTCGCCTTTTTATCCCTTCCTTCCTTCCTTTCCTTGTTGTCTGAAGTATTTCAGCTTTTTTGTACTCTTTCTTAATCGGCCTCATCCCTATCCTCTTTTGACAGACATGCAAGCAAACATCACACACCGGTGCTCTCAACTCCCAATGCCCAATGCCATGCATCCGTTCCCCCCCCCCCCCCCACCCCCTCCAATCCATCCAAAACAAATAAATCACCAACACCTGGAAGACCAACTGGAATTTCGTGTGGGCTGTACTGTATTCTTTTCTTCTTTTTTTGCTTTCCTTTTTGTTCTTCTTCACACGCACGCACACTATCTCCCTTTCCTTTTCTCCACCTCAAAGCTCAACCCCCAATTGGTCGTTCCTCTTATTCATTTTTTTTACCTATTTTGTTTTGCCAGCAATGGCATGCGTGTAACAGGTTCCCCTCCGCCCTTTCTTTTTCCCACTTGGGCCCTAGTTCACTTACAGCACCCTCCCCTCTCATTTGACCCCCCTTTCGCAACGCAAATCGATCGGGCATTTCGCACATGGATAGGGGGTGCGGGTAAGAAGTGTAAAAAAGAAAGAAAGGCGAACAAGATCAGATCGAAAGGGACGAATGCGGGATGGACAAGGGGTGAACAAAACAAAACAAAAAAAAAAAAAACGGGAAGGAGGAGGAAAGACTAGACGAGGTGAAAACGAAGGAGTAGCGGGTGTAGTATGAATGGTGGGTTAGAGTGAAGGAATGAATAGATAGAGTGAGTAAAGGGCGCGAAGCAATAGAAAAAGAAGAAATGGAGTCTAGACTAGGATGGAAAGCTGTCGGAGGATTGCAGCGAACACAAAGAAGGGAAGAGAGAAAGAGAAAGAGAAAGAGAAAGAGAAGAGGAGAGGGTGGAGCAGCAGCAGCAGCAACGATCATCAGCCAATGGGAGATCACCCAGGGCAACGAGTGGATAAGAGGAGAAGAGAGAGCAAACAAGGAAGGGAAGAAAGGGTGGACCTTCCTTTCTGGGTAAGCCATTGCCCACTCGACTGTATTACATCGTAGAAGAAAGTGAACAGAAAGGGCCATACTCCACCCCTGTGTCTCTTTGTGCTTTCATTCTTACTCTGTTACTCAGTTGAGTTGTTGTGTTTCCTCTCTTTTTTTTTGAACTTCCCTCTACGATTCCGAGGGAAAGGAACCAATAGGGAGGCTCCTTCCAGGCCACCGCTTTTTTTCCTTTTTGCAACATGACATAACCCTACAGCAACAACACACTCTCGTACCCATACATCCACTTTGTACTGTACACTTCTCCTTACACATAGCAAAAACAGGTGTTGTTCATCCCCTTTTTTTCCTTTTTCTTTTCTTGCTCACATACACCCCATGCCACTCGGAATCCGATCAATCGCAATTGATATCGAAGAAAGTAAACGTAAGAAAAAATGAGAAAAGGCCCTCCCCCCCAAGTCATATGTCACAATTGAAAGTAAGACGTAACTGTAATCACAAAACGTTTGTAGTCCTTACCTTTAAACTAGGATCAAGTGAAAGGATGGAGTGGGGGAGTGAGGAGGGGGATCGAAATGCCTTTCTGGAAGAGGAAAATCGAATGGTATATTAACAAGTGAAGAGCGAGTACTTGCTTGCTGGTTGGCTTGGTTGGTTGGTATGTGCCGTAGGAAGTGAATGAGTGTTGGTGATGTGGAGTTGAGTAGATGAGTGAGTGAGTGAGTGAGTGAGTGAGTGAAAGAGAAAGGGAAGGGAGGAATAGGGAAACTGAATTGGAGTTTGTGTTTGAAGGGTTGACCCAAAAGAGTAAAGATGGTTTGAACGTTGAAGGGTGGAGACAAACTATATATGCGAAAGAGGAGGGAACGAGATTCGACTCTTTTTTTCTTGATGTAGCTGAACAGATATTGAAAAGAAGAGAAGAAGTAAAGAAGAGGGAAAGACGGAATGAAGAATGCGATGAAGGTTGATGATGAGGAGAAGGAAGGATAAGGAAAGGGAAGAAGGTAGATCGACAAAGAAGAAAAGAAGAAAAGGAGAGAAGAGTAGAAGGAGGGAAGAGGAAGGATTGGGTATTTGAGGCACAGAGAACAGAAAAAAAAAAGTAAAAAAGAAGAAGGTTTTGGGGGGGAACAGCGACCTTTTTATTCAGAAAAGAAAGAAAGAGGAGACACGCTGTACTCATGGCCTTGTAGCAGAAGGCGGATGAAATGACAGTCCACAGCATGGCACTTCTTTATCTTCTTCCCTTACTTTCTTTTACATACACACACATGCCTCTCATCTATCGCTACCTTTCTTCTTGTTGTTTTTCTTCATTTTCTTGCTGTCTCCTTCAATCCCTTACCTCCCTTCTCTATCCCTCCTTCCTTCTCTCTACTTCCTTGTTCCTCTCTCTCGCTCTCACTCTGACCCCTTCCCTGTGACCCCCTTCCTTCTTTCCTTTTGTTTTCACACTTCAATTCATCATTAATGAACTCACACGAGACCACGCACAAGATACCCACAGTGAAGCATTGTTATTGATAGATATGCAAACCGACCACTGAAAGCGTTCGTGTGAGAGAGAGAGCGTGTGTGTGCGTGGAGTGTGTATGTGGTGTGAGCGAGCCAAAAGAGAAGAACATTGATGAATATAATGTTAGAAAAGAAAGAATAGAGTGAAAGAATTGGCAACAACACACCCGATCGGACGGACGGAGAGACGAATGGACGGTTGGAAAGGTTTTTTTTACTCTTAAATCCTTCGGACTCAATTGAATCGAGCCCTTCTCTTCCTTTAAGTATTTAAATCGCAGATATACAACAAACCAGCTCTTAACCCATTCAATTGTCCCTGAATAATTCCTATGTGCCCTTTTTCCCTTCAAAGAAACAATAACTTTTCGGAATTGAATACCCACCTGGTCGAACCATATCCCTATTGGTTCCCTATCACTCTCTCTCTCTCTCTCGTTCCAACAATCAACAAAACAGCAGCAGCAGAAGCAGCAGCAAAACATCAACACTCAACCCACAGTTGTCTGTCCTTGACCTAACTGACCGACTGACCTATCGCTTTGGTCGGACCCTATTTCTCCTCTCTCACTCTCGCTCTCTCTCATTGCCAACGACCCTTACTTCGATTTTCCCGGGCAAGAATGACGACGTCGTTCTATTCATAACAAGAGGGGAAGGGACGCATCAAAGGAGAAAGCAACAGCATTCGACATGGAGACCAAAGTGCGAATCAACGATGTGAGATAAAAAAGAACGCAAGGGACTGACAATGTTAGGATAAATGACGGATAGGATGGGCGAAACGGGATACAGCCCAGGAGACGACGGCGACGACGAAAATGGGAGAGAGTGGAGAGAAGGAGAGAAGGAGAGAAGGTATGGTAAGTTGTAGGAGAAGAAAGAGTGGCAGCATTCGAGGTCCAAAAGATTCGATGATGTGGACCAAGAAAGTGTTAACAACATCTCCTCTCCCTCCCTGACATCCCTTTTTTTTTCTTGCCCTCTCACTCTCTCTCCCTCTATGTGTATGTGTTTGCACATCCCTTTGTATCCCTTTTGTCAGTCCTCCACTCGCTGTGTTATTTGTGAAAACAACAAATATTTCTTTTAGCCCGTCATAGGATGATGATCTCCTTCCCACTGACCTTCGTCCCTTTCTTCCTCCGTACTAATTCTCTATTCAGTCAGTGTCATCGCCGATAATCTCTGCCCCCTTTTTTTGTCACTCATTCATTCGCAGCTCATTTGTGAATGGATTGTCAGTTTGATATTCAGCTTGACGGATCCCTCCCCGTTTTGTTGTTGTTTGTTTGGTTGTGTGTGCATAATGTGCATCATCCTGTTTTTTCTTTCTTTTGTTATTTCCAGGAACCTCAACACCATACACTTACATACACACTCGTTATTCTCTCCTTCCTGCTCCTTCTAGCTCCTTCCTCCTCCTTTCTTTCATCATCATCGTGCACCATATCTGTTCAGGAGAGAACTGAACAAACACGAATAGCAGCTCCTCTCTCATACACTTCGTTAACACAGATCCCCATGGACCTGTAACTTGCCACCCTATTCAATTATTGAATAGGGTAAAAAGAGTAAGAAATAAAGAGAAAGTTAGCTGAAACTATGTCGACTGCCGCCAATGAACGTACGAAAGTAAGATTAATTTATGATGACCAT